AATCTCCTGGAAATCTGTTTGCATCTGTTTTATGGATTCCATTTGTTTCCTATGTTGGGATTCCATCATGTTCCTCAGCTCCTCCATTTTTTTTATGTGTGTCCTCTCTAGATTTATTAATCATGTTTTGCACTATGGGCACAAACTCTGCTGTTATCTGAGAAATTATTTCTGATTTCATTTTTTCGGGATTCCTCTTTGGTTGCCAGTTCAGTGGGTCCAGGTGGTTGAGTATCAGAGTGTTCCATCTCATTTCCCTTTGGGGTTGCTGCCCGTGATCTGGAAGTCTGGTTTTGAGACTTGTTTACGTGTCTTCTCATTTTGACAAGGGGTGGGGGTGCTATTGGCGCCCATGCCGCTCACCTCCTCTGAGCTGGGAGTGGTGGAACAGTGGCCCGGAAGCTCCTTCCTCGGGGCTGGGAGTGGTGGGCATGAGTATTTTTAAAGTGACCTTGAGGCATTTTTGTTTCTCTCTCACCAGAAAAAAACTATTAATTTTAACTGGTTTACTTCAACATTTTTTCACACAATGTTGCCTTTGTGGTCACCATGAAGGTTGTGGGTGCCATGAAATATTGGCTTCAATTCTTTTCCCCCATCTCGTTAAGCTCTTGATTTTTCCCCCAAGGCCAAATTGGGTCCCAGTTTTTACCTAAAACATGGTGGATGGCTTGGCGTATGTTTTGGTAATATATATCTTTTTTTTTTAGCATCCATATTGGTGTTTCTCCCAAAATCCTAATGCATATTTTGTGTTCTGTGTTTCCATGGCAGATACTGGAAAATAGGAAATCTATAGAGAAGTTAAAGGACGTTATTGCAGTGAATGCCTCAGAATTATCAGAGGTAAGGCTGCCTGCACTTCCTGTCTTAGGTTTGTTGTGGACGGACGGTAACGGTGTCCATACGTGCTCTGGGTGGAAAGGTGGCCCTTCCTTCCCCTGGCAGCAGCTCAGGAATAGGAGTGTTCTGCATTAGGTCCAGATTGCCCTGAATGAAGCCAAGGTCAGTGAAGAAAAGGTGAAGTCTGAGTGCCAGCAGGTCCAAGAGGAAAATGCGAGGCTGAAGAAGAAGAAAGCGCAGGTAAACGTCCAGTCAGCAGTGACTCAGATTAGAAAACCCAGGGTCCTTACCTCGTAGCCCTCTTCCCCAGACTGCTCGCATGGTAAGGAGATGTCACGCAGGGTCCAGCTCTCAGCTGTGCAGAGTTTGAGCTCTGCCCCACACTGCGTGCGCGCATGTTCCCCATCTCTCCTGGGTTTTCTGTCCTGTATAGTTGATAGCAGCGCTCAGCCTTTGTCTTCTCAGGCTCCAGTCATTAGCTTGGGCGGCCTCACCAGGCCATGGATTGGCTTTTTCAACCTCGGAATTAAGGCTGCTGTAAGCCTCCTTTGAGCAGTTACTGCCTCACTGGCCATAGGAAGGTTAGAAGACCAGGAATCTGGGTTCAACACGTGCACAGCAGGGCCAGAAATTCTGGTGTCTCCAGCCAGGCAGCTCTAGTTTGAATGTGTTATGTTCCTGCGGCTTAAACCACCTGGTGGTACATGTACAACTGTCCCATCAGGTGGTGTCTTAGCTACTTTCTCGTTGCTGAGACAAAATACCCGACACCCAAAGTTAAAGGGGAAAGGGGTTATTTAGCCCCAGTTTGTAGAGGTTTTGGTCCATAATCGGCTGGCTCCAAGGTGGGGTGGCACATGGCAGAGGGCAACAGTTCATGGCAGACCGAAGGTAGCAAAGCCACAAGGGCAGTCTCTCTGCCCCTTTCTTCCAGACTACTTAGGCTGCCAGCACTCACACCCTTAACCCTAGCATCCTTGGGCGTAGCACTGCACCATGAATCAGTCACACACTCTAGATTCAGCACCTCTGAAAAAGCCCTGCCTGTGGCCACGTGAGGCTTCAGGGGAGGGGACATCTGGACACAGCCGCAACAGAGGCATGGGACAGTCCTGCACATAGCACCGGCAGCTCAAGGTGTGGAAACGTGTTGAGCCCCAGCGACATGCACCCATCCATCCCAGCTGGGAGTCAGGCACTGAAATCAGCAGGCATTTTCGGAAGGGTTCGACGGGTGGGGCAGCTTCCTTGACGGCTCTGAGGGCTGGGGCCACGTGCCCTCTCTTGAACTCAAGTCCTAGCTGCTGTGACAGGCAAAGAGGGACACAACTTCCTGCCTCCTTGTCCCGCCTGCGTGGTCCTGGTGTTTCTGCAGCGCCCAGCCCACGGGCGTCTGTGTGTCTGACTTTCAGCTGGAACAGGAAGTCAAAGACTGGAAGAAGTTGAATGCTGAGCTCAGTGAGCAGATCACGTCCTTCGAGAAGTCTCAGAGGGAACTGGAAGCTGCTCTGGCTCATAAAGATGATGGTATCGGGGTAGGTTTACCCTGAGCACTCTGCATCTATTGCATGAACCCCCAAAAGGTGTTGATTTAGGGTGAGAGCCTCTTAACGGCCCCTTGCTCCTTTTCTAGGCCCTGACCAATTGCATCATGCAGTTGGATCGATTAGAGTGTAGACCTGAGTCTGAGGGTCCAGGTCCAGGAGGAACTGAGGCAGATGAATTAGCCAATGGAGAAGTGGGAGGTAAGAGCAGCCCTGGGCGGATGGGCTCCTTTGTGCCTTCTTGTCTTTACTGTTTACTTATTTTGGTTATTTGGGACAAGGTCTCTATGTAGTTGAGGGTGGCCATGAACTATATAGTCCAGGCTGGCCCCAAACTCATGGCAGTCCTCCTGCCTCAGCCTCCTGAGCATTCTTGTCTTTAAGTATGTACACGGGTGCTCCTTCTCAGCTGACTGAGTTTCTGCTTAATCATCACTGGGTTTGTAGATCTATCTGGGTTGTTGGGGTGCAGATGGCCACAGGCACACAGAGAATGCTGCAGGAGTGCGTCCTCCCCAATCCATGCTCATGGCGCTAGGGCAAGGAGGCGGTGCTGCCAGCTCAGCAGCAGCCCCATTGAGAGCCCTCCCAGCGGGAAACTCACTGAATCAGTTCTGTCGTGAATTTGTTTTTCCTTTCAGTGTTCGGTGAGCGTTAATTTAGTTTTGGGGAAATCAGGAAAATGGAGTTTAAAAAAGCCATGGGAGAAGAGGCAACTAAAGCTTCTTGTTTTTTCAGGTGACCAGAATGAGATGAGAACTAAAATTAAGCAGATGCTGGATGTCTCCCGGGTGAGGTCCTTGCACAGTGCCCGCTACGCGCCTGCGCCCTTACTGTGCCTCACTTTCAAGAATGTGCCCCTCTCTCTCTCTCCCTCCCTCCCTCTCTCTCCCTCTCTCTCTCTCTCTCTCTCTCTCTCTCTTGCAACCTTTCTATTTTTGGTACCGGGGATCGAACTTGGGACCTTGCACTTTCAAGGCAGGCGGCGGCACTGCTGAGCCACATCCCTGGCCCCTCTCTTGCAATGTTTAGACCCAGACCGCAATCTCGGTGCTCACGGAGGATCTCAAACTTTTACAAGCCAAGCTGAGAGCCTCGATGTCCACCAAGTGTGACCTGGAAGGTGGGGCTCAACCCGAGCTGGGCGGGAGCTGGGCGGGCCTGCGTCCTCCCGCGCTGACACTGGTCCCTCACAGGGCAGATAGAGAAGCTGGGCCAGAGCTGCGGGGTGCTGCAGTCCACCAAGGCCGGGCTGGAGGAGGAGTACAGGACGCTGCGGCAAAAGGTGGAGATCCTGAACGAGCTGTACCAGCAGAAGGAGATGGCACTGCAGAAGTAAGGCGCTGCCTGCGGCCGGCGGGCGATGTCACCGAGCAGCAGGCAGGGCTTGGGCTGCCTCGCCTGTGCTCTCTTCTGTCAGTCACTGAGCAGCGGGCAGGGCCGTGCACCTGGGCAGGGCTCCTCTTCTGCGGATGCCTCCCGTGGTGCCGCCCTGCAGTGTTGCCCTCCTTGCCCTGTGCGCAGCTCCATGGCGGACCACATCCTAGCCAGAAAGAGCAGTGTCTGGCCCTCGTCCTCAGCTTCTGTCTTCCTCGAGGTCATGGGACCGCTGTGCTCAGCCGCTCCCAGAGCCCCCTGCCTGTCCCCAGCCGCAGGAGGTTCCGCCCAGGCCATCCTTTCTCCCAGTCACCTCCTCTTCCCTTTCTTGCACCTGGGTTGGAAGCCCGATTGCTGCCCTGCTGGCTGCCCAAGGGTGCTTTCTGAAGTATAGGGCCACCCAGTCATCGCTGGAGGATTTGCTTGTGCACCCGTTCATTCTTCTTTCTCGCAGGTTGGTGGAGTCTTTTGAGTTCTGCTTTTGTGTAAGCTCAGCGCAGCCATAGCTTGCTCTACTCATCCTTCCATAGCTAGCTTGAAGGCCGCAGCGTGTGCCCTGGACTTAGTGAAGGTCTCCGTGAGGGAGTGGGCACGCTCTTCTGCCCTCACTGCCTCCTGACAGCCACTCTGTCATGGTAATGTACGCTTATGCTCCACACCGCAGACTGCAGGGACATTGTACCGTCATTCACGGTGGTCCCCACCCATGTACACTCACTTTGTGTACATAGTTACCATTCCTGTCAATTCTTCATTCTACACCATAGGTCTTCTCTGTGAAATTACTTTCATTCTTAGCCAGACATGGTGGTACACACCTGTAATCTCAGCACTTGAGAGGCTGAGGCAGGAGGATTGCAGGGAGTTTGAGGCCAGCCTGGACTAAACACCAAGATCCTGTCTGAAAAAAGCCCCCCACAAAAGAAACTCTCATTCTTCTTGAAGATGATAAATTGGATTGTTTGTTTTTACATGAAAATGTCTTTATTTCCTTCTAGTCCATTTCTGAAAGAACTTTAAGCTGGTCATAGAATTATGATGGTCGTTTAATTTTAGTATTCTGGAGATGACAGATTGTCTTCTGGGTTTGCAGTTTCTGTAAGGAATCCATTCTCGACCTTATGTTCCCTTTCACAAGCGTCTGCCCCACCCTCTGCTTGCATCGTCTCTCCGTTCTCAGCAGTTGTTGAGGTGCTATGTGGTGGGCTTGCTCCTTCCCCCTCTCACTCTGCGGGCATCTTAATCTGGGGTCTTTTCTTACATGGGAATCCTGCCTCATTCTCCTCATTCTAGGTAAACAAGTCAGACTGCTGAACAGTGGTTCTCCCCGCGTTCTGGATGTCTCCCCTGCTCTGTCTCTCGATGCACTCGATCCCACTTCGCCGAGTATCTGCTGCCAAGAGCACTCACTGAGCACCCACTTTGCATTACCACAGTTCCGGTTTCCTCCTTTTTCTGTGCTGGGGCCCTCAGGCCTGTGCACCAGCACTGAGCTGCACCCCAACCCCTTTGTTTTCTTCTAAGAGACAGGGTCCATCTGTATTGCCCAGGCTATTCTTGAACTCCTGGACCCAGTCTTCTCCTGCCTCAGCCTCCCAAGTAGCTAGGCACACTGCCACACCAAGCTGTTTCTCAGTGTTGTGGTTTCTCATCCTCTGGAAATGCATACTGGACGTTTACTTTCTTGTCTACAAGGCACACTTCTTTTCAACCTGGGGCTGATGTTGTTCCGCAGCTCCCTTGTCTAGGACTTGGCCTGGCATCTTGTCCTATGGGGCTCCTGGCAGGCTCTGAGTGGGCAGACGTGAGGTATGGTAACTGGAAATCCAAGCCTCGCACGCTGCCAGCCTCCAGTGGAGCAGACCTGAGGCGTCACTGCCATCTGCTTTGCAGCCCAGCTCCTTCAGACCCGGCTCGGCCCTCGGGGCCTCCGCCTGCTCAGTACCAGGGCGTAGCACTGTCCGAGCTCAGCAAAAGCCTGCAGCTTTCGCCAGGCTCCTCCACCTCCGTCAGCTCCTCTTCTATTTTCTCGAAACCCAGGGATTTGTTGAGGGCTCCATTCAGCCTCACGTCTCTACCTTGTCTTCAATGTGTGGCCCCCAGGAGGCGCCAACCTCACAGGGACTGGGGCCCACAGGTCCCTTTCCAGCTGGGTCTTGGCCACAGACACCCATGTCTCCTGAGGCAAGGCGTCCTTATCATGGCGTCAGGCTCGATGGAGAAATGGTTCTTCGGTTCTTCGCTGGCAACGTAAGGGCAGCAGGTGGTGGGCTTTCCCTGGCAGGAGGAGGCAGTGGGCTTGGCCCTCGCTTGATCCTGACCCCTTTCCTGCGCCAGCTTGGTCAGGCCTGGCTGTCCACCGTGCATCCTGTCTCAGCCCAGGCGGCTGGCTCAGGAGCACCCTGTGCTTCCTTATGTCTGTTCTGCTGGCTGGGGATAGAGAATTCCAGGGAGAGCTTGTAGAATGCAAGTGATTTGCCAAGAGCCCGCTACCGGAGTGGGACTTCCAGAGTGGGGCTTCCGGAGTGGGGCTTCCGGAGTGGGGCTTCCGGTGTGGGGCTTCCGGAGTGGTGGGTGTGAATTCCTTCCTGGGAGTCTGGGGGAGTGGCATGTGGGCAGAGTTTGCCCTTGACAGCTGCCCTTGTCCTAGGAAGCTGAGTCAGGAAGAGTATGAGCTGCAGGAGCGAGACCAGTGGCTGTCGGCTGCAGACGAGAAGGTGGTGCTGGCCACAGAGGAAGTCAAAGTGTGCAAGTGAGTGTGGCATCCGTGTCCAGTGCAGCGAGGGCTAAGTTGCTTTGTCAAACTGTTCACATTACACAGAAAAGACTGGCACAGAAGCATAAACCAGTAATCAGAGGATATGAGTGCATTTAATTCATACAGGAGAGAAACCTTAACAGGTGAAAACTTGTTAACAGAAAAGTTCTGAGGCCAGTGCTGGCGCGAGTCAGGGAGCCCGGGTCCCTCAAGTCAGCATTCAGGACAGTGATCTGCTCCCGTCACACAGCGAAACCCTTGGGTCACTGTGCCCTGGACAGGACTGGCCCAGGAGGTGGCCTGCTGGCTCATTTCCTATGGCTAGAATTAAAAGAAGAACCTTTATGGAGGAAGATATCCTTAACAAGATTATTTGAGAACATTATTGCAGAACAGCTAAGGAAATCATAATTTATCAACACAGAATCTCTACCCATTAAATGAAAAATAAGGGGATTATGAAGTATCAGTTTTTTGTTTTGGGGGGGTTTTTTGTACTTGGGATCAAACTCAGGACCTTGTGCTTGCGAGGCAGGCGGTGGAACCACTGAGCTACATCCCCGGCCCAGTATTAGTTTTGCTCCCACTGTACTCCTACCACTATATAAAACGTTTTTGTATGTGTTGTGAAGTCTTCAAAGGTAAGCTGTTAGAGTAAAGGTAATATGGTCAGATTGTTTCAAATTTTATTCAGTTTTAACTGATAAAACTATCACTATTAGGCGGAGAATTCAAGAAATGGAGGAAGAATTACAGAAAACAGAGCGCTCCTTTAAAAACCAGGTAACGATTGTACTGCCCTCAGCTTTGGCGCTCTTTGATGCCTAACTCGGGCAGTTCTGACACTGCCAGAGGCCACAGTAAGGCCCTGAGTGCAGTTTTTGGCGTCTTGTCTTTCAGCTTGCTACTCACGAGAAGAAGGCCCATGAGAACTGGGTGAGATCTTTTCCTTTCCTTTCTTTTTCTTGTCCCTTTCCTGTTTCCTCAAAGGCTCCACGGCTGAACTTGGACTCTGTCTCCCACAGCTCAAAGCACGCAGTGCAGAAAGGCAGCTCACTGAGGAGAGAAGGGAAGCCGCTAACCTGAGGCACAAGTGCGTGGCTCTGCCTCTGTGGTGCAGGGGGCTCCTCGCGGGGATCAGTCGCTGTCACACTCAGGCCGTTCTCTGTGTCCAGATTGCTGGAACTGACCCAGAAGATGGCGATGCAGCAGGACGAGCCTGTGATTGTCAAGCCGATGCCTGGACGACCTGGGACCCAGAACCCTCCCCAGAGAGGTAGGCTGCCTTGGTGCTTTTCTGCACGCTTCCCTCGGGAACACAGAGGCTGCCAGAAAATGCAGTGAGCATTGTCGCCCCAGGTACCCTGAGCCAGAACGGCTCCTTCGGCCCGTTCCCCATGAGCCTGAGCGGAGGTGAATGCTCCCCACCCCTGAGCACGGAGCCCCCCAGCCGGCCCATCTCTGGAGCCTTCTCGCGAAGAGACCTGCCGAGGAATGAGTTCGGTGAGTGGTTCCCGGTGGGTCTTTCCCTTTTTTCCCTTTGGAGCATGAGAAGGAAAGCAGCATTCTGGAGTGTGGGTCTGTCTAGCACAGGGGAGGACATTTTCCAGTCCATCTTTGGAGTAGTTTACGACAAGATCAGCTGCAGAGCTGGAAGCATGTGTGCCTTTCTCTTCACTGCATGCTGTGAAGTGGGAACTTTTATCCTTCTTAGGGGTGTGTGTTCATGATGCATGGGAGGGGCCGATCTACCTATCACACCTTAAATCATTTTTCTGTCCCCTGCTCCTCCCTTCCCAACTCCAGAGTCCTCCTCCCTGTTTTCTTTTGCCTTTCACTTTGCTCTTTAAATTGTATTTTGGCTTGATCATACAGCAGAAACCATGTGATACTTAACTTTCTGTCTCATTTCACTTAGCTTTATGGTCTCAGGGTGCATCCATCTCCCTATAAATAAGTTAAATTTGTCCTTCGTGGCCTTGAACTCCTTTGTGGATGAACACATTTTCATTATCCACTCATCTGTTGATGGCGCTGTAGGCCACTCCTGGGGTACAGCTGTGAGGAGGCGTGCTGCAATCTGGGGATGCGGCCATCACTGTAACGTGGTGTAGAACCCTTTATCCCGGATGTCTGTGGTGCTCCTTTGCCTGACAGCAGGGAGGTAGCCTCACACCTTTAGGGTTTATGCAGCATACATACTTCCATTTCTCTTACTGTCATACAAACTGGTGTCTCATTTCTGATTCTCGATGTCTGTAACACACTGACTGGAAGCCAGATTCCACGCAGGCTGAAAAGAGCCAGTCTTCAGACTGGCTGTCAGGCCTGTGGCTCGGAGCCCAGGAGCAGAGCTGTCCATGAATGCGCAACTTTCACTGCTGTTCTCTGCTCCAAGGCAGCTCTCGTCTCAGTGTCAGAACTCTGCCGACACCATGGCTCCTGGGCCTTTCCCAGCCCTCACATAGCTCTCTAGTGAAGAGCTGAACCTTTACCTGCCCCCAGCTGGTTTGTCTTCTGAAAAGTACAGCCAGGGCTGTTACTGCTTCCCGAGGGCCAGCCGATGGGCCTTTCCACATCCTGAGTGTCGCCGAGGCCCCAGGGAGCCTCATCTTTTCCCAGTGTGAAACAGCGGGTGTGGCCCTCTCCCGTCAGAGTGCACAGTCTGAGTCCGCTCCCTGGCCCCTTACAGCTGCTGGCCCCCGCCCCGGCCCCAGTCCCGGTCCCATGGTGAGCAGCGGCTCCCGAGGCTCCTCCCCAGCGAAGGGCCTGGATGAGGGCAAGGTGAGCCCTGCGGGCGCGGCCCTTCCCTGCCCTCTCCGGGCGCCTCTTCCGTCTGTCCTGTTTACATCTCCCTCTGTTCTTTCACAAAGCAGACTGCTCCACAGGAGCCCAGCGTGACATCTGCAGCCGAGCGTCCAGCAGCAGTAAGTGCAGCACCTGCAGGACGAGGCCTGAGCCAGCGCAGCCGCTTAGCCTGCCTGGCAGCTGCGACCCCACTGACCTGGGCGTGTGGAAGTCTAACCCCACACGCCTGTGTGCGCGCCTAGAGTCAGCTGTGGCTGCAGCCTCGGAGCGGATTCCTCCGAGCTTGGGGGCTAGGGTCTCGCTGTGCAGCTCAGGCTGGCCTTGGACTCTCAGTGTATACCATGCTGGCCTCAAATTCATAGCAGTCTCCCGCCTCAGCCTCCAGGTGGGGAGACCACAGGCATGCGAGTTGGAGAGCAGATGTGCTGGACGGGAGAGCTCATTCTGGCCAGCCCAGGCTGCGCTCTGTCCGCAGAAGTGCCTCCCGCGTCCCCGCAGCTGTCACAGCTGGTGGCCTTCACACCGCACAGAGCTGCCCCTGCCAGTCAGAGCTCGCTGTCCTCACTTCCTGGGCACCCAGGTCCACAGGCGTGATTGGCCAGTGTCTCAGGGCAGTGTCGCTGGCAAGGGAAGCTCCTGTCAGAAAGGCTTATCTCCCTGAGCATGTAACACCACTAGTGTGCAAAACCCTTCCATGTTCCAGTGCAGTGCTCCGGGAACATACTTCCCTTGCAAGCTTTTCACCGCCCCTGCCACACGTTGTCGAGGATGGTGCTGAGCTTTCGTGGCGAGGGACATGCACTGGCGTGTCCTCGCAGCGCACTGCTCAGCGTGAGGCTTGACTCCTCCAGAGCTCACTGTGCACTCACAAGTGGTGACAGCTTGGGCCAGTGCTTGCTCCGCAGCGTCCTTCTAACCACAGAGCTGCTGGGGACACGGCAGGAGGTCACTGCACTGGCCCTGCTCTCTGGATGGGCGCCTGCTGTCTCCTGGGCTTCAGTTTTCCTGGTGTTGCCGCTGTTCTGTCACTGGATTTAAAGCTGTAACCACTTCTGTTCTGCAGGTTAACATGGCCATGAAGGGGCCCCCTGCTTTCCCAGGGCCACCATTTATGGGGGCCCCTCTGCCACCACCTGTTGGATATGGACCACCACCACCGCTCTGCGGGCCTTTCGGACCTCAGCCAATGCCTGGGCCACCTCCGCCTTTCGGTACGACGCTCTGGACAGCATAACTGTCCTCTCCTATCACCCCCACTAGAACAGTTGCTAATGACTGGCTTGTCCAGTATGTCCATTTTTTCTTCTGCCCCTCGCTCAGCAGTTGCTAATCCTGGGTATCACAATACAAGGCTAAGCTCACAGAGGCCATTCCGACCTCCCCACAGTTTCTTGGGACAGTTTGACTACATGATCTCCCCACAGACACAGGCAGTAGCTGACTCCTACAGGCAGGGAAAGGGTTCTTCCCAGAAAGCCGCAAGTACCAGTCCTGCAGGTGCTCATGCCAGGCAGCCCTGTGCGGCAGCAGATGGTGACAGAAAGCTCGCATAGTATGGAGAAGGAAAGGTCAAACCCTCACTCCTCCAGTGAGGACAGGTGGGAGGGGGTGTTCAAGAGGACTCTCGTAGCAACCTAATGAATGTAGCTGAGTTTCACCAGTGGAGATGCAAGGCCACGTCTGGCAGGGCAGGCTCATTGACATTGGTGGCATGTGATGGGTCTGTGCCCAGCTACTGTGTGAATTTGTGACTGACATAATAGGCAGTAGAATTCCCTTAAAAGGTCACTGTTGCAGTGCAGCTCTTATGCATAATCTGTCATCTCGGCATGGTAGACAGCACCTCCACATGAGATGGCCACGAAACTATACCATGAAGAAAACACGTCCAGAGCCAGGCAGGCCACGTTAAAGTTCTGCCTTCATGCTTCTGGGCTGGCCAGCCTCAAGCTGTAGCTTGAACTTGCCAAGCCTCAGTTTCCCTTACCTGTGAAATCAGATGCGTCACTAGCTCCCTTGGGATGTGGGAATTAAATCCTCCCTCAGCATACTTGGAGGCTTCTTTGTTCTGGGTGCTTACGGTGTAACTCCTGCTTTCCAGTTCCGTGTATGTACCCACCACTGGGCCTGAGAGAGTTCGCCCCAGGCACCCTGCCAGGACATGCACCATTCAGACCTCCGGGCCCGCTTAACCCTAGACAGTATTTTCTTCCTGGTCCGAGACTGCCACCACCGCCTTCCGGCCCCCAGGATTACCCACCACCACCTGCCGAAGGAGACTCACTGCCCGTGGGCCCCAGAGAGAAGCACGCGCCTGCCTCTCCATACAGCAGCCGGGACTCCTCGCAGACTGTGAGGCAGAGCCCGTGACTCTGACTCCAGTCAGAAGGAAGTGGGCTGCACTGTTCACATGGCAAAAGGTTTTCATCAGCTTTGAAATCCAAAAGTTTATTTTAAAAGGTTTTTAGTACTAAGCTGCCTTGGGCAGTGTGCATTTTTGAGCCAAACAATTCAAAAGTCTCATCTTCCCCCTCTTAAAAATTGCCTAAGCTCGAGTGTCCTTTCAACTTTGAAATCTCCAGTAACAATACCTGTTTTAGTTAATGTAGCATATATAATTGCAAAGTGATTCAGAATGTCCTAAAAAATGACCATTTCCTGTGGAAATGCTTTAAGAACACATTTCCATTGTCCATTTTTAGTGTACCAACTGAATACAGAGCAGTTGTGTTTATAAGCTGGCCCACACCTTCCCCCGCCCGTACTGGTCGAAAAGACTGTTACGTAAAGATGTTTACTCAATGATCATACAGTTTTTGTTGTTGTTGGTACCGAAGATCGAACTCGGGTCCTTGCACTTGCACAGCAGGCAGTGAAACCACTGAGCTAAATCCCCAGCAATGATCATAAACCTTACCTCCCCTCTCATTGATGTCCTTTGTAGTAATAGTTAATAAAAACAATATTTCCAAGTGTCTGTCGGTTCGTTGCTTGTCGAGAGACCCGCTGTAACTCCGGCTCCCAGGACGGCTGGCAGCTTGGCAGCAGCTCTGGCTCTGGTGAAGCCATGCCCTGTCAGGTGAGTGCTGCAGCCCTGCCGGCTGCATGGCTGCTCACACCTCTGCCTGGCTCACTGAGCCACATGTGAGCACACAATAGCAATAAGAACTTTGACCTCACTGTTGTTTACCATGATTGCATTTAGGGGTGTAACAGCAAAATAGAAATGACGTGTCATGACTGTGAAGGCAAATTTCTTCTTAAAAATGCAGTCTGTTCTCTTTCCCACATCCCACAACTGACTGAAGGCCCATGAACCAAAAATGAGAAGAGCAAAGTGACTGAGGCCTGAGGCTGCCACCCTGCTCTCGGTCAACATGGGCTGAACTCCATTCTGTTTTGACAGATGCTGTTCCAAAGTTGGTGTTTGGACATTTGCCCCTTTCCTTCGAGATCCCAAGTCTAAGAATCTGGAAGTGAGCCACACTTAGTCTTGGACTGCTACTACACTGTCTTCACTGTTCCTAGGGACTCGCTCGCTCTTCATACATTTTGAGGATGATCATTTAACAGCACATTTAAGAGGCTTAGGATCTAGACTGAGTTAAAAGTATAAAAGGCTCAGCTTTTGCTTACTGCTACAATGATGTCCTGAAACCCAGAGCCTGGCCTGTCCCGGCCACGCTGTGTGCCCTGTGACTACAGCGCACGATGTTTCGCGTGAGACACCACCTGCCACAGCATGTGGAGAGATGGGACCTCTCGAGTCAGGGTACTCAAGAGTTCAAACGGAATGTATGATTCCTGCAGGAAAGGAATTCCATCTACATGGCCTCCCTCCAATTAATGTCAAGAAGAGATGACATCTAACACCATCTGCCATTTTTAACCTGTAAAATAAGACAATCAGGAACACAACCTTTGAATGTCATCTGTCAACCCCTTCAGGACACAAAAAGTCAACATAAGTTTTAATTTTAAAGAGCACACACTGCAGCTAGGAAGTAGGAATGGTAAATCTCATTTTTGATTCATTCTCCCTAAATCCCATTGGTACTTCTATATCCTGTCCCAGAACGTCAGCGAGCCATGGAGATCCCGAGTAGCTGTCCCAGCAGGTCTGCACCAGGGTGACCCTCGCCTCTCATTCCACCCGACTGCGCCACTCCTGTGGCCAAGATCACCCCAGGCAGGCAGTCAGGTGGAGCACCCGGCTTCCCACTGGAGGCTGGCCCCTGTATCAGACGTCAGCTCCAGCTGGCTGTTTCTGGGTTTCCCTACTGCACTGCCTCGCTCAGAAAGCAGCACTTCCACTCCCGTTGTGGGCACTGTCCACTGGCTGACTTCGCTGGAAAGTGAATTTCAGTCCCTTGTGGGATGTGGCGTATTCCGTTCACTGCTTCTAGACAGGGTCATCTTTTGTCACTTCATTTGGGTCTGTATGCATGCCCAACTCACTACATACTGTTCGGGTCCGGCTTCTTCACTGCTGCTGCAAGGCATGTGCGGTTCAGCTGCAGCACACTCGCATGCAGTACACTGGCTGCCCACGCAGATCACTCAGCTGCGCACATCTCGCAGTGTGTGAGAAAGGAGGACAGTACGCCTGCTTTGCTACACTTTAATAGTAGGCTTCGGGGTTGTGTGTTAGAGCTCCACAGGCTACAGCGCTGCCAAGCACCTCGGAAGGAAAGGTGCACGACACAGAGGATGGGTTCTCGCCCCGAGGAGCTCACGGCCTGGGGGCTGCAGACTCCAAAGCTGAGCGGAGTGAAAAGAAAGCAGTTTCTTAAGGCAGATTCTTCATCTCCCAGAGCTACTCTGGACTGAGTCATTTTAGTATTTGGGATTTATCAGTCAAGGTGAAAGACAAGACTGAATTTGGTTGAGAACTCTTTCAGGCTCATCGTTTGTGTTAGCATTCAGCTAGTGAGCAGAAGTGGCCTGACTGACACTCGGAAGTAGACCAGGTCTCCTGAAGTGCAAGGGCAACACAACTCCGCTGTGGTTACTGACTATGAAAAGCGAACGTGCTGACCACTATACCTAGGCTATCCCACGCGTTTAAAATAGGAGCTGGCACTACTCCCTCGTGCACTGCTGGTTTAAAATAGTGACAATTAAAATATGTGGGTTCCACATCTAAGCCACAGAAAGCCCATCACAAATCTTAATGTCGAGTGTATCAAATACTCACCTCATGTGCTATGAAAGTTCAGTTTATGCCTCCTCAAGTCAAAAGTAATGTAAATGGTCAAAATTATAATAAGCTAATGACCTGCACGCTTTCATGTGGATGAATGCCAATATATCTGAATAGGAAATAAAAGGCAATCCTATCTACCTATATTAAAAAAATAGAAAGTCTGCCGATTTTGCATACTTATCACTCTAAGTAAAGGTATTCAGGTTTTAAGGTTTCACAATCAGTTGTCAGAAAATCAGCAGTTACTCCTGCAGTATCTCATTAGTATCAGACGCAATTATTTTTGGATGACATGACCTACAAGACATTATAAACCCATCTAGAAATGTGTTTATTCTGAGACGCTTCCAATGCGAACTAAAATCAGAAAAAAAGACAATGTGATGCAGAACAGCTAATCAACATGACTAAAATATGCTCATTTTCAGAAAAACAATCTGGTTATCTGGGAAACAATCGCAGCCACCATCTGGGAACACTGTGCCTGCCTGGGGACACTGACCTGGGCCAGGCACACTGTTCTAAGCAGGAGAGCCGCCTGTCCCCTTCCCACAGACCTCCGGCAGCACAGCTGGTCCAGATCCTCCACACAACCTGCTACCACCCCACCCACCTCCCGGAGCCTGAGGTCCACTCCGACCAGAGCACACACCGGGTCAAAAGGGAGCAGAGGTGGAAACCCGAGACATTCTTCCTGCCACGTGGGGTGTGGAGATGAGGACACCTACCACATCAGCACTGTCCCAGGAAGCAGGCAGGGCAGAGGTAACCTGGAAAACAGATTCTTAATGCACAATTAACAGAAAAGAGCACGTCCGACACCTACAATAAGCCATCATCCAAAGGAGTCTTCTGCTCTGCAACAGCCGGACTTAGCCTACCGTGCGGCCATCCAAGGGCTCACTGGCCTCGCTGGGCAGAGCCCACTCCCTGCCCGAGGAAGTGAAGATCCGCAGAGCGATCATTCATGCTACTGGCTGCTGAGATTGAAAGGAGCTCCAGGTTACTCGGGTCAGGATCAGTCCTTGTGCAAAGTTTGATGCAGATGAAGATAAAGTGGTTTCTTGGTCAGTAACTGTAACTTTTTTCTTTTAAAGTCAGTGGGTTTCTTGTAGCTGTAACCGCAATAGAGAGCATTAATATACCCAGGTGACTGATCTACCCCAAGGTTACTCTAGGGCAGAGGGCTGGGGAGAGACATGGAACAGTGCCCTCTGCACACCACTTACAGCTCTATCACAATGGGCCCAGGCTTAATCTCATCCATCTCCATGAAAGCGAAGCACTTGGTGCTGGTGAACCTCTTCTTAGGCTTGTAGTGTTTGAATTCAAAGAAGATAGCTGCACCTGAGGGATGGGATACACAGACCCGTGAACTGTACAGCACTTTCTCCTGGATCTCTGTGTTTTTCACTGATCACCGGAAGCACAGGAGCAAGCACACTTTACAAAGTGACCTGTGTGGAATACGACCAGATGCTGCGGACTGGCTCAAGAACATCAGGTCCTTCTGTAAGTGCAGGCACTAGCGAGTGTGAGTGTGAAACACCACAGGGCACACAAGACATCACAGATCAGCAGTGCCCAAAGAAACTGCTTCAAAAGGCAATGTGACTAGGTACATAGGCGCTGAAGAGGGTCTCATACAGAAGCCTAACTCTTTCTCTTTCCCCTCAAACAGACCTCGAAATTCAGTATTTGTGAGGCTGAGATTCAAACCCCTTAGCTCGTGCTGGGTCAGGTGTGAGATGCTCCTGCAGTGTTGAAGGGCTGCTCTAGTTCTTCCATGTAAATACAAGTCTGTTCAGACAGTTCCGTGGGTGGGAACTGGCACCAGCTCCCGAGAACAGTGTAACATGGAAATGTGTGTTGACCTTTCCCAGTTTCCTGCCAACAAACTCCAAGGGATGGAAAGCCTTCCCCAGGACATCCAACCGCTGCTACAGGGCTAGCAACAGCCCTCAGACCTGCCAGGAGCACTTGCCAGTGGGAGAAAACTTCCTGCTGTGTCATAGAAGACAATAAAAATCTTACCATCGAAGAACGTTTTGCTACATTCCAAGGCTAACCTACACGTAGATCATACAATTCCCAATCCCGGGGCCGGGGATTTAGCTCAGTGGTTTCGCCGCCTGCTGCGCAAGCGCAAGGACCTGAGTTTGATCCTCGGTTCCAAAAAAACCCCACAATTCCCAATCCCGCAGTTTTACAAAGTACTCACTGACTTGACTTTCTCAAGTCAGTGTCCCTTGACACCACGGGACAGTGCTCTGCCAGGCACTGCGCACACAGACCCAGGGCATTTCTGCCGGCCGGGCCCCGATGCATGCCACATACCTTTGGTCAACTTCTCCACATGCTTCTGGAGCTCAATGTCCACACTGAAGTGAACGTATGTGTCTTCCTTTCTTGAAGCCACCGGAGTGTCCTGCACAGGCGTTAAATCTATGCCGTTCAGGTCTGGAGAGAAACAAGCTTCTGCTTAAGAGCAGGTGCATGTACACACTGAAAAGTGCAGATACCACACAGCCCTAGAGAGGGCTGGCAGGAGCCCCCAGTGCACACGGATTCCCCCGTGGCTGCTGGTGGGGCGGAAGCTGCGCAGGTGGGGCAGGAGACCTTCTGGACGGGAGGAGGCCCTGCCCCGGCCAGATGAATACAGAGCTGGCGGGGGGGGGGGGGGGCAGTGTGGCCCGTGCAGGTAAGAGGCTGATTCCCTTACAGGGCAGGCACTACTGCTTTTGTGTGGAATACAAATTTGCAGTGTGGCCTCTGCCCCTCATTTCCAATTTTGATCATGTGCACAGCTTGGAAAGACCCATCTAACACTGTCAGAACTTTCCTATTATAATTAAGTCGGACAACCCAAAATGGCCGTGAGAACTACCCACAGAGCCTTTCATCAAAAAGTAAAATGTAGGGGCTGGGGATTTAGCTCAGTGGTTCTGCCGCCTGCCCCACAAGCTCAAGGACCCAAGTTTGATCCCCAGTACAAAAAAAAAAAAAAAAAAGTAAAATGTCGTATACATCATCTAAGTCCTGGTTAGAGTTACTATAACACAGTTGACTTAAAACACCAGACAGATACTAACTTGCTGTGTACGGTTTTATTTCCAAGATCCAAGAGTCCCAGTTAATCAAATCCAACATGGACTCATTTAGTGACTCTGCATCTATGCACTGTCCCACAGCACTGTCTTGGGGCACTTAATTTAGTATGCTGGACTATCTCAGCTCCCAAAGCCACGTCTCAGCCCAGCATGTATGTAACAGCGACCTAGCACCTACTGCATTATCACTGAGCAGTTCTGAATGTCGCAGAGCACATTTCTGAATGGGTTATGAAGCTTTGCAAATGGCACAAGAACGAAGAGCCAAGCCCTCTCCCAGGCTGCACACCCGCTGAGTGGCCAGGCCACAGGTCAGTGCCACCGACCAGAGCCGTGGTCCACGGTCTCCTCACAGTGGCACTTTCCTCTATGGCTGAGCCCCTTTTCCTCCTCTGGGTCTGAGTTTATTTCTACGACTGAGGAAGTTCTTCCATTTCATTTCACCCCAGATCTTTTCCTCTGATTTGCCTCAAACTACAGACTAAGTGATTCACTTGTATTATGGGATTATTGCTAGATAATGGAATGACTTCATCCTTAACCATTCTATTATTGTTGTTGTTATTATTTTTCATTGTAGTACCAGGTCTCACTGTCTTTCCGAGGCCAGTCTCACACTCTTAGGCTCTAGTGATCATCCTGCCTTAGCTGCCTAACCAGCTGGGATTACACACTTGGCAACCAATAATTATTTAGTGATTTACATAAAATACTTCATATGTTCAGCAACAACAAAAGAACTTAACCACTAGTTTCCTTCCTTCAGATTGAAAAAAATGTTTTCAGGGAATAACAGCTGCTACACTGGACAGGGGAGAAAAACAAATCCCACAAGAATCATACTTCCTGCCTGTGGTAACAGTGCTCAGTGAAGGATCCAGGCACCGGGACGCCCAGGGACCACATGAGGGTCGGGTGCTGTGGCTGAGCCTGCCTCCCTGTCTCCATTAACCACGCTCTGGAGGACTGGTGCTCACTCCAGCAGGACGAGTGTCAGAAACCTGTCCGGGGCAGGGAGGCGAGGGTGAGGGGACAGGACACAGGGCTCTGCTGGGGAAACCACACGCCGGTGGCGTGGGGGTGGGGACTCGTTAACCTGCACCAGCACTGCAGCTGCCATTAGGGTAACGTGGACTCTAGTCAGCACCACGGACAGTCTTGGAGAACAGCAAGACACCCAAGGGTGGGAGAGGACGAGTAAGACGGGAGGGGACGTAAAAAGGACAGAGGCTTGTGCACCTGTGCCAACTCCCCACGGTGGATGTAATCACTTATGCTGCCAAGACAGACTAATAGAGCATCCACGGTAAAGAAAAGAAAACGCCGTAACAGTAATTTTAAAAGAACAAAAAAATACAGAAAGTCAATCTCAAAAGCAAGGGCATAAGTTATAAAAAGGAAAATATTTTCAATAAATTTCCCAGAAATGTTTATAGTGATGGAGCAATGATTTCTTGCAGGAATTTTGCCTTATTGCAGAATGAATTAGAATGAGTTGTCATAGATACAAGACCACCTCTCAAAGAAACTGACAAATTAGAAGTCATGTGGTAAAAAGAGGGCAAAAGGAGGGAGTCGTTACCCTTTACGCTGACTGTCATATAGGGATCGATGCACTGCCCGGCGTCTTTCAGCCCAATTTTCTCAATTCTGATGGTGAGTAATGTCATGCCCGGCTCTGACGGCAACCTTGGTAATAAAGTACCTGGCAAGAAGCCACAACAAAAGTCAGCTCCGCCAACAATTTCAAGAGTAAATGCTGTTAACAAGCACAGAAATATTTTGCCTTGCTCTTCACTTAGTAACTAGATAAGCATGATGTATTTTGGTCTCCAAACCTCCCGAACACTTGTTATTCTGTGGAGTTGTCTTTTATACACAACACACACGTGCACTTCCCTAGCTCATCACTTTAAGGCAGAAATTAATTCAAGCACACTCAAGGAAAGCTCAAGTTAAAACTTCACGTCATTCAAGTTATAAATAACCACATAATAATATATAATGTATACTCTTCATATGCACTCACGTAGATGTAAGAAACTTTATACCTCAGTATGAAATTGCTTTTTAAATAGTTATCCTAAAGTTTAAGAAGTGTAGTGTCAGATCAACACATCCTTTAGTTACTGCTCATAAAGGATGTAAGTTGCAGTTTAATATTTATGTATCTAACTAGGTCACTGTGCTCTCACTTCCCACCCCTCCTCACCTGCTGGGCACCACTTAGCCTTAGAAGTCCCTGCCACAGACAATGTGACACGAAACCACAGAGTGGACTATATGGCTGAGTGAACTGCAGCACCCAGGTCACTGCAGGATACACTCAGGAAAATTCCCAGGAACTAATGACTATTTCCACAATACATGGTTAAATTAGCGAATATATCAAGGTAGTTCACATTAGCAGATGAAAGGAGAAATTTTCATAATCTTTTCAATAGACGCAGAAAAAGTTTTCAACTAAATTTGAAATCCAGTCTTGATTTAAAACATTCTTAGGAATTTTTTGTTTTGTTTTGTTGTTTTCTGAGATAAGGTCTCACTATGTAGCTCAGGTGAACTCCTGGCAATCCTCCTGCCTCAGCCTCCTGACTGTTGGGATTACAGAAATGTGCCACTATGCCCAGTATTAGCAATGTTTTAAAGGAATCCAGCAAAGGTAAGGTAGCCAGAACCAAGGCTTGGAGCTCAGGTGACCCACACAGGGAGAGTGCATGCTGAAAGCCACTGTGCACCCTTGAACGGACAGCTTTCTGATGATCTGTCACAACAGCCTCCTCCACAGAGAGGTCCCACGTCGTACAGCCCTGAGGCAGCCAGTGCAGGACCATGCACACATGGGGCCTGTTTTCAGTTTTTATGTCCTCTATTCACGAAATCTACCAAGATTGCCTTTAGAAACATTAACTTCTACTTTGGCTTAAGCAAGTAATAACTGACTTAAATATAACAGAAATGTACTGGGGATTTAGCTCAGTGGTGCTGTGCCTGCCTGGCAAGCACAAGGTCCTGAGTTTGATTCCTGGTACCAGTCAGTCAATCTATCTATCAATAGATAAATAAATAAATAAATCAGACACAAATGCATTGTGTGCCTAGTGAGACTAAAAGTTTTTAAAAAGATCTAATATTAAGGAAGCTAAGCTAAGCCTAACAGCCTCTTACTCTTTTCAAGAAAGGTTGGATAACTCAGTTTTAAATGAGAAGAAACTACTCTCAGTCATACCATAGCCACATACTGTACGCATCTCTTTAGCTTAACAGTGGAAGTAGCGACGGTGTGTGTTTGTCAAAACTTACAAACTTCACATAAAATGACTTTTCCGTATGTAAACAATACCTCAGTAAAACTGACTTGGGGGCAGTGCTTTTTGAAACAGGGTCCATGGAAAGGAAAAGTTATGAGAAATGGAAAAATGGAAACAAAGTCTTTGTAAATAGGGACGGGAGGAGGGGTGAAGGGAGTGCAGGGAATGGGGAAAAAATAAGAATCATGAAACAGGGTCCTACAGCTGGCTCTGAACTCACTATGTAGTCCTAGCTGGCCTCAAACTTGTGATGATCTCCTGCCTCAGCCTCTCAGAATGCTGGCATTACAGGTGTGCACCACCATGCCTGGTTATACCAACCTGCCTTTTCAAAAAAGTTTATAAAACTTACAATTAATAAATTACACAAAAATACTGGTAATAAAAAGTCATAATCTTAGAACCACACTACACAATAACGTAGCCATAGCTTAGTCATCACTGAAACCTTGGATTCCCTCAGGGTAACAAAGCAACTTTTTCTTACTATATGATTGAGTTAAAGGTTAAATGTCTTCTTGCTATTTTGATGTCATTTTTGCTCTTTTTTTCCATGTTTACTATACATCAGTGCTGTACATGTTACACTCACTGTGGGGAGCTGGCATATGTACGCAACACACCTGAATCCTTTTCACTTCCCCCTGCCCTCTCTTCCAGATGTCACTGTCAATGAGTATAATTTTATAAATTTTTTTTTCAGTGACACTTACAGCCCTGGATAGCATAGTTCCAAACCAAGTACAGCCAAATAAACTACACACACTCTTTCTTACTCTGAGGGGGGAAAAAAATTCAGGGTCTAGAAAGGGTCAGTGAGCTTCTTGTATTTCTAAAATGAGATATCAAACTATTGTACCAGAACACAAACATCTAAATTCAGCTTGCATTTAAAGGTGCATAGCTTGTGGACTTAATTCACAGCGGAAGTTTCTCTTCAACTCAGCAACCTGAGCCAGTAAAGACCTTCCCTCTGCATCTCATGACTCACCTCAGCTGCTTCAAAGGCCTTGTCTACTACAGAGATACAGCAAGGGCGCAAACAAGCAAGCAGACAGAAATTTACACAGCTGCAACTGCATTGTCTGCAGTACATGGTTTGAAAAGGGAGTAAAGATCACTGAGTCAGGAAAGCATCACAGTTATTTATTTCACCATCACAGCAATCTTGAAATTTCCCACAATAATGACAAATCTAAGAAAAATACAGCTTTCTCTTCATAAACCAAAGCAGAGTGGAAATAATGGCTTGTACCAAGGAGACATTATGGACAGGAGCACCTGCCATCGACAGGGCCCAACACGTTTTCAGTGATCCCATGAGCGAGTCGCTCTGAGCCCAGAGGTCAGATGCAAGAGCCCAGTTGCCTGTCTGTCCACACCTACGCTGCTTCCATTCCAAGTGCCTCCTCCCCAAGGAGTATTAGAAGTGCTGGACTATTATGAAATAGTAATAGATGCATGACACATGACACACACATTGCACTGAGCCACACAGTGTACCGTCTAGTCCAAATGCATTACAATTTTACAGCATCCTGCTGTACTTCCCAAAGTGAACTTGTTTACCAGCAATAAACACTGCACAGTGCATAGAAACAGAACAAAGTAGAGCCAGAAGTGGGAGAGAGAAAAAAACCTACCCAGAATGCCTGCCTGGGTTGTTACAGGGAGGGAGATGCTCATGGAGATCCTCCCTCCGTAAGAAAGAAAGGCTTCTTACTTCTCTCAGACAAGATGAGGACAACTGCTCAGTTCCTGCTCCCTCGGCCCACACTCACAAGAAGCTGCCTAGGTGACAGCACTGCCCTCTCCGGAGATTTCCTCTCCTTTGCTGACTTGTTGCGTACTGGCGCTATGACAACTCATAACCACCAGTGCAGCGATACGCTGGACCTTGCAATGCCTCCTAGGGCGTCTCTGAATATGCAGTGGTTTTAGCGCCCTGACAGACAGGAAGACGCTGTCCCACTACACTAACTCCACTGCTGCACAGCAGGCCACGGACACTTGCTTCAGACTGGCACAGGCTCCAGAGAGCTTCATTCCCTACTAGCGAAAGTTGTCCCAGTACCCGAGCCGCGGTGTAGGTAGCAGTCTCCCTGAGGTACTCACCCGGGACTCTAGCAGGAAAGGAGTCCGGAGACCCTCCTCCAGCGCCACCCTCTTCCTCATCATCTTCAAATTCCAAATGCTCTTCTTCACCAGGTGCTAAAATTCTCCTACATGAAAAAGGACAGGAAAATTAGTGAGCCACAACAGGTAATACACGAGTGAAGCTTCGCAGATACTCATTTCTCAAGGCACAGTGCTGATTGTTTTCAAAAAGCTGTACACTGGCAGCAATGTTGATGTCAATGACATCACTGCTCCCAATGACACCGATCACACTGATCACACCAGCACTGACACACAAAGACATAAGTAACCAAAAACAGGTGTAAAATAGGAAAGTGAAAAGTAAAATATGGATGCTTTTTAAAAATTTTACCTTAATGGGACAGGCTGAACATCAAATGGGAATTCTTTATTATATGTAAGAATATTCTTTAGGACTAGAATAAAAAGATAAAAAGATGTGAATTCTTCTATGAATAAAAACTAAGTATTTTATCTTAAGTGGATCTTAAATGGCTAATCTTTAATTATCTTCACTATGCACATTAATATGCTTTTAAATCCCCAGCCTATCATTACACAGCCACTGTGGACTTGTCCATGGAAGGTCTTAGCAAAAATGGGGTAACCGAGAGAGAGTACTTCTTTCCCTCAGTACTCTAATGAAAAGACTGACAGCAAAGATGACCCATTTGTGAGAGATACATGAGCACATTTTACTCTCTGTCGTAAATTTCCTCTGAACACCATCAAGCTGGTAAGGTTTGTAGCTGCAAGGTTCTAATTCTCATATAATCATACAAATTAAATACGTTGTAGACACACACATGTATACATACACAAAGTGGGATCTATCCTCAAGAGAGGCCTTCAGACAACATGGCAGCACTTCCTGTGTCCTGGCTATGGTTGACTAACACCTCCATGACCATATTCTGGCATGCCAGCTCAGAGAGATTCTGGAGTCCTGCCTGTATCTGGACAAGCACGACACGTGTGCAATGCACTTCTTAAGGACTCCAAGTAACTATCCACAATTACATCAAGGTGAATTCACAGCATGAACTGGGCAACCCAAAAGGCTGCCATGATCTTGTACTCAACTTATTCAGCCTTTAATTCTGGAGTCTTGCAGTTAGTGCTACAAGAGGTATAACACACTGGCACCCACAGGAGGCTGCAATTACATGATTTATTCCAATAGGAGTCACTGTTGCTTATCAAAATGACCCCCCCCCCGCCCCCCTTCTAGCAGTACTGGGAACAAACCCAGGGCTTTCACACTGAGCTAATCTCCAGCCCTTTCTTCTTATTATTTTTTATTTTGAGACAGGATCTTGCTAAGCTGCCCAGGCTAGGCTCACACTTGTGAGCCTCCTGCCTCAGCCTCCCAGAACGCAGAGATTACAGGTGTGCATGACCACACCCAGCTTTATCAGACTTCTATTCTATGTGGTCTACTAAATCATCCAGTGAGAAGGAAGTTGGATACATGTATGTAGATTCTTATTCATTCACACCCTCTCTTTCTCCCTTCAGTCACACTTCCTTTCTTAACAAATGCATGCTGGGTGCCACAATGTACCAAACATTGTTTTAGGTACTAAAACAAATAGAGTGATCAAGAATTCATATCTGAATATTACCCCACAAGCAGGAAAAGCAGACAATAAATATGCTAACAAATAAATAAGACAATGTAAGGCTGGGGTTAGTGTTCTGAAGGACACAAGCAGGATGTGGCGTAGTTTAGCAGTGGGGGCCCGAGTAGAGCACCAAGCTGGGCAGGATAATCCTTTCAAAACTAAACTGTTAGAAGATGAGAAGAAGACCAGGCATGGTGGCACACCCCTGTAGTCCCAGCACTCGGGAGGGGACTGAGGCAGGAGGATTGCTGGAAACTTCAGGCTAGCCTGGGCTACATCCTGAATTCAAGGCTGGTCTGGACTACATGGAGAGACCGTCTCAAAAAACCAAAAACAGAAAAAAAAGAAGATGAGAAAAATCATCCACAAGTAGCTCTGGGTGAAGGAGAACAAGCTACAGCAGCAAAGGCCCTAAGAAGGAAACAGCAGGGTGAGTTCAAGGGCTCAGGTCTGACGAACAAGAGGAAGTAGATGAAGTAGTGCAGGTCAAACCCTGGCCCTTTGATTGTGCCCGTGACCTGGACATGCACAGCCATTCTGAACCGCAGTTCCCCAATCCTAAAATGGGAGTACTGCTGCTTTCATCGGCTGCTAAGAGAACTAAAATTCATTTCAAACACCATGTAAGTGGAAGCCTACACTGGCACACAGTAATTCATTCTCTCCACGGTTTTCCCTATCTAGCTGCTTCAAATCCTAGTATTTCGTATCTCACTAAGAAGCACTATTTTTCTCTCTTAGTTTTTGTTTAAGTTTTTTTTTTGGTACCGGGGATTGAACTCAGGTCTTTGCACTTGCAAGGTAGGCAGTGGAACCACTGAGCTAAATCCCTGGCCCTAAGAAGCACTATTTTTAAAACATAAGAATCTTTTCTAAACTTGTTGCATGTCATTATTAATAAGCTGTTAATTCAGCTCAGTAAATATCACTTCACAGAACTGGATAAGACACTAACAAGGGGGAGTAACAAAAAAGACCATGGGTCATGCGTACCAGACACAAAACAGAGAGATGATCGTGTTTTAATAATAATAAAATGGGAAAATCACTCTTTAAAATATGTCTAATATAACAGCAATTCTTTAAAATTGGAAACTGTATCAGTTATCTTGCGTAAGTATAAAAGAATTAAACAGTATTTTCTCTTCTTAGGTATCAATCTTTGAAAAGGAAATGTTTCTCTGGCATAGCAGCCTCTTGTCATTTTTACAAGTTAGATGCATCCAATGTTTACTCTGTAGGAATAGCTGTGGGAGAAAGAAGGGACCTTTCTTACTACCTCTAATGGTAGGAGGGGCTTCCATTTCCACCAGCTGCGGAACAACAGATTCTAAAGTCCTTCTAACACAGGGCTCTGCCTTACATTCCCAGAGGTCTCCTTCCACCAATTCCAGTATGGGTGTTAAAGGAAGATGTGGAGAAAAGAAGAGACTACTGTGTGTGACCTCACAGAGGCTTCGTTGTGGGCTGGTGCCTGCTGGCTCAGCCAGCCACACTCAATCGCGTGGCCCACGAGGCCTTCTGCCAGGGACACCTGGCAGGCTCAGAGTGCGGACTGGCTCTGCCCCGATGCTCACACTCTCAGAATGACGCACACACAGACATCAAAAAGTGCTCTGCTTTTGTGGCTGCCACGCTCCATCATAGGGGCAGGCAGGCAGGGCCGCTGCTCCCAATTCTCCGAGGCTGTGTTCCACACTACTGGGAGAAGATTCCCTCAAGACGCTCACTCCTATTCAACTCAACACAAACTCGCCAGGTTCCAACTGAACACAAAGCACTGAGTGGGCCTACAGGGATAGACAAAGGTTATTCCTGATCTCTTTGAGGGGTGAAACAAATACACGTGAGAGTGATACAGGGAAGACCAATTCTGGATATAAGCAGAGAACGCAGAGTTTAGTTATGGCTGAAGAAAGCAGCGACAGCTTTCAGGGGAAGGAGGGATTTCTGTAGAGCCTTGAAAGATAAATTAACAGAAGGGAATTTCACAGGGTTCAGGTGGGAAGAGAAGCATGAGACAGAAGCAGCATATCATAAGGATTAAAAAAAATGATGAGGCCAGGGATTTAGCTCAGTGGTTCCTCCCCCTGCCTCTCAAGCTCAAGGTCCAGAGTTCAATCCCCGGTACAAAAAAAAAAAGAGTACTTTCACCGTCATTGTCTTAGTATAAGTTTCAGACAGCAGTTTCAAGAGATTTACAAAGTAAGCCAGCTAGGTCCAACATATTGTAAGTTACATTCATTAATTTTCCTTAGAAGCTTGACTGCCGAGTGTGGTGGGGCACACCTATAATTCCAGCACTCGGGAGGCTGAAGCAGGAGGATCACCAGGAGTTCAAGGCTAGCCTGGGTTACACAGTGTGTTCAAGGCCAGCCTGAACTACCCAGTGAGATCCTGTCTCAAAAAAAAGAGAGGCTTGACCAAGGACAAGCTATATGAAGCACACTTAATCTGAAACACAGTGAGATATCAATTTTAGAAGAGGTCTAATTCTTGATAATTATCTCAACAAGTGCTCAGATTTGGTGAATTCAGAATTATACGCACACACACATAAGACCATCGCAGATTTACTTCAATCCTCCACTAACACATGGATCAATCATCTCTCTGGAGCTCGAGCGGAGAACCGTGACGCTCGGAGTTCGTGTCAGTGGCCCCATGCGTGCACAGGGTGCTGGGTTGTGGTTGCAGGCCGTGTGGCCAGTGAGCTGGAGCTGGGAGGCTTCTGCTCATCTGAGTACTCAGCACGAGCTGCTGCTCCAAGGAACATCCTGCAGAAGACCTTGTGTGACAGGAGGAAGCACCAAGCTCGCTTCCGGGAGGAGACCATGAAGTCTAAGGGTAAGCAGCTCACAGTCTTTGGGCCAGGCTGTGCAGCTCTAAGATTCTTTTTTTTGGTACCAGGGATCGAACTTGGGACCTTGCACTTGTGAGGCAGGTGGTAGAACCACTAAGCTACATCCCTGGCCCTCTTAAGTATTACTTGGAAATAACAAAAGCTAATGAAAAACAGCAATTAAATCAGGAAGCCAAAATCTTGGCCTGGGGATTTAGCTCAGTGGTGCCGTATGTGCCTCACAAGCGCAAGGTCCCAAGTTTGATCCCTGTACAGAAAAAAAAACAAAAAAAACCCCCACTGTAATTATTTTATCACTAAAAACTGAATGGGATACCCTTTCTTTACAATCACTATGTAACAGACACCCTAACTATTAGTTGTAATCTTTTATTTAATGCCATCAATATTTTCTTTCCTCAAAATGATCTCTAACATAGCCAGTCACCAAAGATGATATATTATATGGTTCCACTTACACGAGATGCCCAGAATAGGCAAAGTAAGTTAGTGCTTGCCCAGGGCTAGGAATGGCAGGGGTGGGGTGGAGAGAAAAGAGCAACTGCTATGAGCACAGGGTTCCTTTCAGGTGATGAAAATGTCCTCAAATCTATAATGGGGGAGGGTAAAACTGTCAGTGTGCTAAGAAACACTGAAATGTACACTTTAAATTGGTGAATTTTATGGTAGATAAGTTACATATCTATGAAGTGGTTATAAAAATAATCCTACACAAAGTATCTGTTAATGATTTTTAAAAGATGAAAATATGGTCATTAAAAATAAAAACTTGTGAGTTTTATATCATTTCATAGGCATCCCTATATACTTTCGACACGGGTGAGAGCCATTTCCCAATATAAAATTATGTCTCTTGTAACAAAAAGTTTATGATGTAGGGCCGGCAAAGTAGTTCAGTGGTAGAGCATTTTGCCTAGCATGCTTGAGGCCATGGGTATAATCACCAGCACCACACACAAAAAAGTATGATCTGCATAACATAAAGTAACCAAAACTACTAAAATGACATAGTTCATCATAATTCTTGCCATACTCAAGAGGACAACATTCTGAAGAGATGAAACATGATCACCTAACAATTGTGGAAAAGCCACCGGAATCACAACAAATCTGCTATGTGTTTCTGTTTGTTCCTTCCGTCTACCAACACAAATAACAGACCATCCCTTCAGTACAGCCTCAGAGCCCCCTCTCGCCTTGGACCTGCAGTCACAATTACATTTCTGCTACCTCAGTAATGGATGTCTTTATCAGACTTGCTGCAAATGAATGAGAAACTGTCAGTTTGTGAAATTTTTATGAACACTCTCCTTAACTCCTAAAATGTTATCTTTTACCTCCTATCCAGGCATGGAAACATCAAAGGGACTGCAGCAGTGTGGACAGAGCTCGGCTGACCAGTGTCCTGAGATACAGGCCTGCCCAGCTTCTCAGGGCCAGAGTGAAACTGGATCTTCAGCTACACAGTGAGAGTGTGACACCCCACACCTAAGGCTCCTTTCTGACCATAAATGCCAAGACTTTATGATTCTGTACTTAGAAAGCTGACTTAACAATGGATAAATAAAATCTCCTACTCCCTATTTACATAAACAGCTAAGATGCTAATCTTGTCTCAGCACAAGGGGAGTATTTCAGCTTCCATTCACTGAGCCTTCTATTCAGCTCTGCCCACACTGCAGACATTTCTCTGAACCAGGAAACAGACTTTATTTGGCAGGACCCTAAGCACCAAAATATTTAAAGGAACTGTTTACTTCAAAAAGTTTTAAAGATGAGGAAAAAGGAGGTAGCAAGGAAATGTTTTACAGTGCAGCCCAACAGCCGCACTGCAGCGGTCAATGACACGAAGGCACTGCGCGTCCCCTCTGGACTCCACCAAGGGCCTATGGAAGCTATCAGGACAAAGCAAGGCTTAAAGACATCTAGATGAAGTACAACCCTGGACTTTTGACAGTGAAGGTGCAATCCAAACTAAACACTGCAGGAATTTTTTAAAGGGTGGAAAAGATCACACAGGACTAAATATTAAGGGGATAAATCCGATTTGCACGTGTGCTAAGTAATGTTAATGTCTGTAACAGATAAAGTACTTTTTATAAAGGAATATCGCTGAAAGATATAAGAAAACTTACTTGGCTCTAGCTTCTTCAGGTCCTCCAGTTTAAATTCTTCTTGGGACTGTGTAGACTAAATTAAAAATATGTATATTACATCTTTGATTACAAAGATTTCAATATGTTTTAAATAGCAAGAACCAAATATTCAAAATGAAATCTATTTTTTGTTTTCAAATAGCAAAATAAAAAGTCCCAAACTGGTTTTTGTTTGCTTTTACATTCTTAGAACATTCAGGCTAAAAGTAATAGAGAAATTTAAAGTCATATCTTTTATTTCTACAGTTCACAAAATATGAACTACATAATTTGACTCTCAACTGATAAATTTCTGTTGTTATAAAACATTTCTGAGACAACACTGCTTTCAGCACAAATACCTAATGTCTTTTTAGAATAATTTATTTTGTCTTGTAGTAGAAAGAAAGGAAAAACTACTTACCTGTAAAGCTGCACTTCTCAATTCTAAGCATGCTGCAATTTTGCCTATGGTTTTCTGTTGGGAAAAAAAATGCTATAAATTATTATAATTGTCAGTTGTTAAAATCAAGGTAATGTCTCACTGAGGAGACCTAGCCAGGCACAGTGTAGCATGTGCCTTAGTCCCAGCTGTTTGAGGCCACGCCGGAAACTGGAAAACAGCAAGATCCTATTTCAAAAAGTAAATAAATAAATAAGGGTTGAGGAGAATAGCCCAGATTCAGAGCACTTGCCTAACAAGTGTGAGCCCCTGGGTTCAATCTCTAGCACCAAAAGAAAAGAAAAGAAAAGAAAAGAAAGAGATCCATAACTGTCCTAAATAAGTTAAATTATATTTCTTTTTAGCATCTTGCAGACTTTAAAAAAAGAGGAGGCAAAGGACAGAGATGCAGGAAAGTGAGTATGTATTCTCTCCTAACGTAACATCCCACAACTAATTCTGAATCAAGTCTGCTTTCTGAGAGCTTTGGCTGTGATTTAAAGGGCACCAAATATAGCCATTATGAAAAATGGTATGGAGGTTCTTCAGAAAACTAAAAACAGAACTTCCCATAGGATCCTGATTCCATCCTGCTTAATCCAGAGCTTCGGGCAATACAGCCAGCGTGTTCCAGGGACTCTGCCTATGGACAGCTTAATCAGCTTCGGCCCCCCAGCAACAGATGAATGGAAAAAGAAATCACAGCAGAGTATTACTCAGCCGTACAAAGCAAGCCCGTCATTCGCCACCGCTGGGACAGAACTGGAGCAGATTATGCCAAGTGAAATACACCAAATGTAGAAAACATTGCCTGACCTCACTCGTGCAGAACACAAAAAAAGTTGAACTCATAAAAACAGAGCAGAATATCGGCCACCTGAGGCAGGAAAGAGGCACAGGTGGCTAACTATGGACAACAGTAATGTGCTACACAGTTTGAAAATCTACAAGAAAGGATTTTAAAGGTTTTACCATAAAGAAATGGTAAATGTTTGAGTAGGTATGTTCAACTTGACTTAAACATTACACAACGTATGCATTACCCAAACATCACACCATCCCATTAATAAGTACAATTTTTATGTTTCAGTTAAAACCTAGTTTAAAAACAGAGAAAATTAAGAGAGGACATGGAAAGGGTTTCTTAATAACATTTCCCACCCAGCTTCATCTTCTCTCTTCTGTAAAGCCTGAAACGCACTAGAAGACTTAAAATATCTGAAGGTCAGCATCATGGTATAATTTAATTTTGACTTAAGATCGACCCTGACTTGTTTAAATACCGAAGTAATAATACTAAGTATTTATTTATTTATTTTTTGGGTACTGGGGATCGAACTCGGGACCTTTCATTTTTGAGGCAGGCAATGGAACCACTGAGCTAAATCCCAGGCCCAATACTAAGTATTTATGATGAAGCACATGGCAAAGTTTACAGTCAGATCTGTTTAGTGAGTTATAAAGTGACTATAAATGACAGGACATAGTCACTGCCTTTATGACTTTGTGTTCTATCACGTGAGGCAACATACAGAAAGAATCACTAAAATTCAACAGCAAAGAAAGATACTCAATTCTGTAAGGTTCAGCGAAGTAAACCCAAGGTTCAGTAAAGAAACAGAATAAGAGCTGTATTAGGAAACCTTAAAGATGGCGTGTGTATGTGGTGGTAGAGGGGTTGTTCTAGAATGAAAGAATTTTGCAAATTGTCATGCCTCAGCTGTCTAAAGTCCCAACGGGAAGCAGAGGGAAAGGAGTTGAGAAGAGGGGCTAGGGTCTCACCCTGAAATGGATCCTCAGCGCCTAGCTGAGGAATCTGGGGTTACTGTGCCCCGACAAGTTACAATGAAGGTTTCTGTTCAGGACTCGCTCAGGTCTGCCCTTCAGGAAGACTGCTGTGCTGTGCCTGCTGGCCCACACCTGCAATCCCAGCAAACTGGGAGGTTGAAGCAGGATTCCAAGTTCAAGCCCAGCCATCGTAACTCAGCAGGACCCTGTCTCAAAATAAAAATAAAAAAGTGCTAAAGATGTAGCTCAGTGCAAAGACCCTGGGTTCAATCCCTAGTATGGCCCTCCTCTCCCCAAAAAGCATTCACAGGTTGCAACAGAAAAAAGGGGAAAACAAACAAAGGGCAAAATCAGGTTATTTCAAGTGTTCACATGACTGGGGGAAATGAAAAGGAGATTCATAAAAGAAATTCTCAAGGACAGCTGAATTATATCCATCAAGACTTACATCTGTCCCAGAAAAAGCATTTCTGAAGTTCCTACAGGAATGAGGTGTGTGTGTGTGTGTGCACTGTTTGGAACGCCTGTGTGATGCAATATTCTGGGATGTTTTTCGAAATGTACACATGACCTACAAACGTTCAGTAGGCTGGATTAGGTGGTTTCTCTGGCTGATTTTCTTTGGAAAGTGAGTGGAGAGCAAAGAGGAACGGCAAGGATTACCCTCCTGAGGACTCAGGCAAGCAAGCGCTGCACAACCAGCAGCAGGATGGCAATCCCAAAGAGCCTACTGCTGACTTAGATCCACCCTGTCCCGCCAAGGAACCAGACACAGGCTTCACCATCTCCACAATCCTTAGACATCCTCCTCGGTCCTAACATGAAAGTTTAGAGGGCTGGGGATTTAGCTCAGTGGCTTCGCTGCCTGCTGCGCAAGCGCAAGGATCTGAGTTTGATCCCTGGTACCAAAAAAAAAAAGTAACAATAAGTGCTCTCTCGGGCCAGGGATTTGGCTCAGTGGTTTCGCTGCCTGCTGCACAAGCGCAAGGACCCGAGTTTGATACCCGGTACCAAAAAAAGAAAGTTTAGAAACATCTTGTTTTATTCTGAAATTTATGTTTGGAAATTGCATTTATACACACTAACTGCAAAAGGATTCAAGAAACTCATAAATGTATTCACCCTCTTACATAGCTACTGTGTAGAGAGCAGCAATAGCCTTTGCTAGACACTATGGAATATCCCCAAATCACTGTTGCTTAGGAATACCACTCAGCTCTGACCAAGCTAGTAAAGAGTTGTAAGCATAAATAATAACAGCAATGAGTGACCATGGAGTACTTACAAAGTGACAGCCCTCCTCAGTGATTTATAAACATTCTTTCAGTAGTCCTCCCTACAGCCCTGTCAACCACCACCACTTACACGTGTGCAAAACCGAAGCACGGAGAAGTCACGTCACACACCCGGGCATCAGGCCTTCCACACAACATAGCTCCACATGCACACTAAGAGTAAGGCCCCTGAGCTGTAACTGCTATGTTCTCCTCATCAGAACTGTGCCTGCTCCGAGATACATGAATGATTAGCCTTTAAAAACAGTACACTTCTCTTCCTTCTTTATTACAGAGTCCATTTGATTTCATTCTTTTAACATTTAAGATAAGAGTGTTGCAGATTAGTAACTATGAGGCCACTGATATTCAAGCTAAGCAGAAGCAACAGCTTTTTGACAGCAACGTACTAAACTATGGCAAAATACCAAGAGGCATTATTCATAACTATTTTAAGGGACCACACCCAAGCTCAGTATTAAAAGAGTGAAACACTATCACGTCAGCTGTGGCAGTGACTTTTAATACATGTAGAATTTATTGATGTCAAAATCAAATGCCTGCCACTGAAATAGTTTCACCTTTTGTAGTATGGTTCAGAAAATGATTGAGGAACAGTCGCATGTGCTAGAGTGTAAGTACTGCCAACTAACAGGCCTTAACACTAAGCACTGAAGGTAAAGGATGTTTAATTTTAGGAAGACTTCAAGAAAGTTCAAGGAAAAGATGGAATAAAAATGGACAATAAAAAGGCTAATTTAATTTTGCTGAAATGTACCAAATTTATATAAGGAAAAATCAATGTAAAAATATATAAAAAGAACCACAGTTTCACTTAATCTGGGCTTAATTTTTCATAGGTAAACAGCCAGTTCTCTTGCCTACCTGGGGGAAAGGAGGGGAGACTGAGGACCCCATAAAACACAGCACAAGCACCTAGTGCCAAGATTCTCACTACTATCACATCTGACTCAAAACGGAAAACTGTCTAAGCGTCATGAGACAGGAAGTTCTTTTCTGTCCAGAAATTTACAGGAGAAAATCTACTACCACGAGGCAGGGAACTCAGTGGAATGGAAGCTTCTGGCAGCTTTTTGCTGCTACTGAACTGAGTTTTTATAATGACAGAACTACTGAGAACTGAGACTAGAGCTAAGTGAACTAATCATGAGGAGGATGAAATAAGAATCTGGTATTATTTTAAACCAGAAATTTTTTGAAATAGTAAGAATAAAAATACATGTGAAGTTTTTACACTGTCCAATACCAACTCATTTGGCTTAGAGAGAAGAGTAGTTCTGTTATAGAGTTCTTTAGATTTAAAATAAATGTTATTCCTATGTAAATTAGGACTTTATCTTAAAATAATCACTAATAAATATCAATAACCTAAGATCCAACAATCCATTTATTCATCAAATATTCTGAGACCTCTATGTAAGGTAGACAGTAAAAAGCTGCATTAAAAAAGCACTTTAGAAATATGATTGGTTTTTTTTAGAAGAAAAATCTATCAAAGTCCCACAAATTATTAAATGGTTGGCATAATTCTAAATCCTGTCATTGCTACCAAAACACTGAAAACAGTGAAAGTATAGCATACATAATTTAAAATAGAAAACATAAACAGTTTTGCTGAAGAAAATACGATTGACTTTTTCCCCAGCTAATGTACCAGGCGTAGCATTCAGCATTTTCAATTCTGCAGATCCAGCAGTGTGCACAAATCTCCCGAATTATGTCCAAGCGACTCTGGACTCGATGAGACGTTATGCAAAGGGAGGAAGGGGGCGGGATGTCCAAAAGCAACCCCCAAACTGCTGCACACCCAAATGTTTCAGAATATTCAACACACACACTAGCATGGGGAAAGCAGGGAGAGGTCACAAACTCCTGAACTGACAGCTGATCATTTTCAGAACCACTACTCCCCAGAGTGCGTCTGAAGATCTTTATTTCCTGATTATCACTAACTTGGGGCCCCTGAACACTTTTTCCCTGTGAGAGGCCTGTGAGCCTGTGTGGCGGTTTCGGTCGGTTGTGGATGTCCCATTTGTAGTTTTAAAGAAAACACAACTTTTAAATGCACCCAACTTGCCTTCTGCCCATCATACAGTACAGAACAGCCCAAGTACTCCCCCAAGACCGAGGAACAAACTGGCCTGGCCCTGTCTCTCAAGTCAGCCAGGTAGCCGGCGGGCATCATGCACACCATGGAGGGTGACCAGAAGGTGTGGACCACACTGAAGGCAGAAGGCAGGAGAGGTCTGTTTGGGGAGAGCTCCTTTTGAGGCCCCTTGTGGTTCTCTGCCCCCTGGTTTCACACATAAAGAAACAGGCCTAGGCCAGAGGCAGGAGGCAGACTCTGCTGACTCCAGCTCCCACTCGCTCCGCTGGGTCATGATGCTTCCAGGCTCTCTGGGAGTGCAAACTCTCGGCTTTTTGTTTGTTTCTGTCAGTTGAGCCAAGGTCCACGTGGTGCAGGCTGGCCTCAAACTCTTGGCCACCTGCCTGCCTCAGAGTACCAAGTACTGGAATAACAGGTATGTGCCACCAGGCCCTGCTAGGGGTCCTTTTAGCACTGAGAAGCTGTGGGACAGCAGTAGATTTATAAAGAACAAGCAGCACTATCAAACATTTTCAAGAAAATTAAGAAAAAGGTTAACTTTTTTCTCTTTACTCTAATCATAATGCAAGGCTCACTTATTTGTGTGTGTATGTATAATTTTATTGTTATGTTTTAGGAGGTCAAATCACTTTCCACTTGAGGTCTTACAGCTCACAAGTCTTGTTCCTAAGCAACAGATATTGCAGATAAAGCACAGAAGTAACTCAAGGCAAACAGGTGAATAAAACATGGAGTCATTCAAAAATCAGGAGCTTCTTGTAGACAAACAACAGACTCACTACTGAGAGACAAATTAGGGAAACAATTCCTTTCACAATAGCATCCAAAAAAAAAAGAAGTGTCTAGGAATCAATCTAACAAAGGAAGCAAAAGACATCTACACTGAGATTCCACCTCACCCCAGAAAGAGTGGCTGCTATCAAGAAATCAACCAATAACAAATGCTGGTGGGGCTGTGGGGAGAAAGGAACCCTGCTCCACTGCTGGTGGGAGTGCAGACTGGTGCAACCACTGTGGAAATCAGTATGGAGATACCTCAAAGAACTAGGGCTGGAGGTCCCATTTGACCCAGCTATTCCACTGCTGGGGATCTTCCCCAAAGAATTAAAAGAATCATACCACAGCGATATATGTGCACCCATGTTTATAGCGGCACAGTTTGTAATAGCTAAAGCTTGGAAACAGCCCAAGTGCCCATCAATTGGAGACTGGATAAAGAAGATGTGATTTTTAAAAATAAAATGGAGCACACTACTCAGCCAAAAAGAATGAGAAACTAGAGACATTTATAGCTAAATGGATGCACACTGAGGCAATACTCTTAAGTGAAATTAATAGGACACACATGTATAAATACTGAATAGTTTCTCTAGTGTGAGAAACTGAAAGTGTAAATAAGGATTACAATGTATAAGTGATAATGTGAAATAGGAAGAAAAGGTCTAAAGGGGAAAGGGAAGTGGGAGGGGTAGGAGAAAGTAAAGAAAGGAAAGGAAAAAATATGAGAAAAGGGAAAAAATGGAAACAAAGTCTTTGTAAATAGGGAGGGGTGGAGGGGGTGAAGGGTGCACAGGGAACGGGGAAAAAATAAGAACTAAGATGCATCATGTACAGGTACAAGATCCCAATGACAAACGTAACTATATTGTATACCTAAAATGTACCAATAAACTTAATAAAATAAATAAATAAACCTCTCTTTCTTTAAAAACAATATGGAGTCATTAAAATTTTTTAAAAATTTCTTAAGTTTTCGCTGTTTCCATATTCATAACACACTCTATAAACTATTAATCTGTATCTGAGGATTTCTGAGATTCTGTTTATCAAAATTTAGGTATTTTAAGTCCCAAATCTGTGATGCCAGCTGATCACTTCCTAATCAATTCACACACAAACCTTACAGAGGTGACTGAGTGTACAATCCAGCGGTGGCGAACTCACGGCATGCATGCCGCAGCAGGCAGCCACAGCCCTCTCTGTTAGCATGTGAGCCAAGTGTCCCCCCAGCAGCCAAGCTCGGATAACAGTTGTTTTTCTAAACAAAACCTCAGTATTAAGGTTTAACTGCAATGTTAGCACTTGCGATAAATAAGTGGGTTTGGGGTTGTAGTTTGGGCACTTGGGCTCTAAAAGTTTCGCCATCACTGGTCTATATATATAGCCTGTTTCCTTCCTTAAGTAAGTCAGTTGCTTTCTCTATGCTAATTATTTTCCAGGGCTAAAATTGCAATTAGATTTAGCTATGTGGACATTAGCAATTATTAAGGGAAAAAGAAAAATAGCCTTTTAAATTGTAGCAACATGACTTTTTAAGAAATACAAAACAAAGTGTGCAACTTGAAGTAAGAGCCTAAATATTTTAAAAAATGCAAATATACTAATTTGAGCAAGAAATATGGCTAATTCTGATCTTTGGGGGCTTTTTCTTCCCAAACTCCTGTTAACCATGAGTCAATGAGATGAGATCGGGCACATTCAGAGTGGTATGGCCGTAGGCTACTATGAGTCAGTGAACGAGAGTCTATAAGCAGGGCCGGGGATTTGGCTCAGTGTCACTGCACCTGCCTCGCAAGGTCCTGAGCTCTATCCCCGGTACCCCCCTCAAAAAAAAAAGCCTATGAGCTAAACAATTATTTTTTAGGCTTGAGATGTGGGAAAGGTTAAGACATTTTTTTCACTATCTACTAGATGAAAGCTGACTTAACATGAGCTGGTTGGAGCCAGGATAAAATGGGAATTGTTTCCTCTCATTTCCTCTCACTCTTTTTGAATAGTTTCTTTAAAATAGCCCATTTTTCATAATCTCTAACAGTTCAAGGAATTAACCCAACACACAAAAGTTTTAATTCAAGGAGAAAACACCACTGAAATATTTTGCAACCTTGTACATTTATTTTGCTGATGGATTTGTATGCCAAATTCTTTTTTTTTTTTTTTTTTTTTTTTTGGTACCGGGGGATCGAACTTGGATCCTACCGCTTGCAAGGCAGGTGGCAGAACCACTGAGCTAAATCCCCGGCCCCTGTATGCCAAATTCTTAACTAACTTTTTTCAGTGATTTTATTGGTTTGTTAGGTTTGGCTGGTGTGGGGTTGTTGGTTAGTTTTGAGAGGAAGTAGATAAAGAGTTTAGAAAGTTCAGAGTAAGTAAGTGTTGAGGTGGGATGCAATTATTCACAGTCCTTCTGTTTTCCTAAGGGAGCTCACACTGCAGGTTCCCTCCTCCAGCCAAGTGGATGGTCTCCACTAGAGTTAAGCAAAGCCTCAAAGGCTGAGGAAAGAAATTCATTAAGTAGTAAATTATACAGTATCTCCAATGAAAACTTAACGTCAGACTAAGCATAATCAACATGGTTCATTTTTGTTTGTTCTGTTTTGACTTATTCGTAACAGGTTGTTTTGGTTTATTTTTTGCATAACAGACGAACCCTTTTCATTTGGAATTGGCTGTATCTAGAGATTACTTTATGGTACCTTTTGTTCTTCTGTGAATTCAGAATTATTGTGTTGAGCTTGGGCCTCTTTTTGTAGATGTCTTGCTAATCTGTAAGAAAAAAACATTCTTTAGAATTGAAAGAAAGCAAACTATCTCAACTGCAACAATGTAAAAAAAATTTAAATCTTTTTAAAGACAGTAAAGTACGGGGGCAAGGATTTAACTCAGTGGTTCCACAGCCTGCCTCAAGGGCTTGAGTTCCATCCCTGGTACCAAAGAAAAAAAGAGTACAGCAATATTTTGTTCTGTTTTCAAAGTAGAAATCTACATTACCGTTAGAATCAAATTCTTTATGCAACCATGATGAAAATAAGATATAATACTTTTCATCCCATTTCAGTGGGACAGATTTCAGCTCTAGGTAGTAAAAACAGAATCTTAGAGCTGGAAGGAACTCAAAGGGGATCTAATCCAACTTGCTCTAGCATGCACAAATTTCTTCCATAATTAGCCAATAAGTACTTGTCCAGATTCTGTTTAAAGACTGCCAGTGAGTACCAATAATAGTAACAACTAGAAGAATTTTATCCATTTATCATCAATTTTCTGGTAAGATTGGTGCAAACCCAAATTACAGACATGACAAAGTAATGATACTCTTATCAAAATACACTTCTGAAAACTTTTATTTCATTAAGTTTATTGGTACATTTTACGTATACAATAGTTACATTCATCACTGGGATCTTGTAACTTTACATGATGTATCTTATCTTGGTTCTTATTTTTTCCCCATTCCCCTCCCCTTCCTTCACCCCCTCCACCCTTCCCTATTTACAAAGACTTTGTTTCCATTTTTTTCCTTTTCTCATAGTTTTTCCTTTACCTTCTTTCCTTTCCCCTACCCCTCCCACTTCCCCTACTCCTTTAGACCTTTTCTTCCTATTTCACAATATCAATTACACATTTTGATCCTTATTTACACTTTTAGTTTGAAAACGTTTTTTTGAAAATTAAAAAGTTCTCCACTAATTAGAAGTAGAAAGCAGGACTTGCCCAATTACCATTGATAGATTTCCCTCCAATTTAGGGTGGCTGCTGTATATAATAGCTACCTTCTTTCCAACACAATCCTACTCCCACCAAGAGTAACCTGACGCTTGCTCTCCTCCTGGCAACTAGTGACGTCACAGGCTCCTCCACTCCCTAGCCACTACCTCACTCAAGTACCTCAGCTCCTGGAAGCCCCTATATAAAAGGCACTTGCTGTCCTGGCCATATTGCTTTTGTCTCTCCTTTGTTCAGAGACAACCTGGCAGATCTGTTCCCCTAATAAAGGTTTGTTGTGGCCTGGTCTGGTCTTGTTTTTCGGTCTTTTACCTGACAATCATCATGCTTAAAAATAGCAGGTAAGCTTTGGGTGAGTTTTAAAGCATGGATCTATGTTATTAATCCAAGGTCAACAGTGAGGGTCCAAAGCTATTTCTAAGGCAACAAAAACCAAAGGCCTCTTACAAACAATCAATAAAGACTCTTACAGATAATCAATAAAAAGCCAATTTTGGCAAAATTTGAATAAACATTTCTCCAAATATGTATGAAAATGTCCAATAAGCACATGAGAAGATGCTCAACATCCTTAGTCATTTTGGAAATGTGTGTCAAAACTGTTAGATACCACTTCACATCCACATGATGGAAATAATTTTAAAACTAAAACAGGGAGAAAATAAGGAGTGTTGGTGAGAATGACAAGAGTTGGAACCCTCATACATTGCTGATGGGAATGCAAAATGGTGCAACCTACTATGGAATCAAACTCAGAGAATATAACTCAGAGAACTGAAAATACAAATTCATACAAAATATCTGTACACAAATGCTTACAGAAGCATTATTCATAACAGCCTGAAAGAGGAAGCAATTAAAATATCTTCCAACTGATGAATAGATAAACAAAATGTGATATATCCATCCAATGGAATATTATATAGTCATAAAGTGAATAAAATTCAGACAACATGCTATAATATGAACTTCAAAAACATTATGCCAAGTAAAAGAAGCCAGATGCAATAGATTATGTATGACTCCATTTACATGAAGTGTCCAGAATAAGTAAATCCAGAGATAGAAAGTGCATTAATGGTTGCCTGGAGATGGAGGAATATGGAGTGGCTGATACTAGGTATGGGGTTTCCTTTGGGGATGATGCAATGTTTGGGAATTAAAATCGAGGATGGTTGCACACATTGTGAATACACTAAAATAAACTGAGTTACCTATTCAAAACTGAGTTTTATGTTATATGATATTTATCTCAATAAAAAACTGCAGGGGGGATGAGCCAGGGATTTAGCTCAGTGGTTCTGCCTTCTGCCTCGCAAGCCCAAGGTCCCGAGTTTGATCCCCAGTACCAAAAAAAAAAAAAAAAAAAAAAAACTGCAGGGGGAAAAACTGGCAAAAGAATTTGAAAATAAAACTCCCAAGGGCCGGGGATTTAGCTCAGTGGTTTTGCCGCCTGCTGCACAAGTGCAAGGACCCGAGTTCAATCTTCGGTACCATAAATAAATAAATAAATAGATAGATAGATAGATAGATAGATAGATAGATAAATAAAACTCCCAAGCATATTACGCTATCCTGGGTAGGCAATGAGGACAGAAATACAAAAGGAAGCAAGTGTAAGCGCCACCTTTTCTACCAGGACACTTTAAGAGGTTAGTTCTTCATGTTTCCAAACATGAGTACCAAAGGAGTTATATTCTGTCATATCTTTAAGGATCAGGCATTATTCTTGATCACTTCTACCCAATTCATGAAATGTCTGCATCCCTTATCATAAAGCAAGAAATTTCAACAAAAAATCATTTGCTAGGATAGTGTCATCATGTTACATATCAAATCGCTTCTATCCATTAATATCTTTTCTCCCAAAGCTGAAAACCTCGTAATATTTTCCCCTAAAATTTCATAGATTCACTTTTTGTAAATTCTGTACAAGAAACAAATATGGCCATTGTCCTTGCTCTGGATTTTCTTTTGTAACTCTTGCTGAGCTCCACCTATATGGGGTGCTTTGTTGGGACTCATTAACCTATGTCCTTAGCAATGTCTACCTTATACCCATGAACTCAAGGGAATTTGTAGTGTGACAGCTTCTACACATAATTCGTTAACAGTGGTTATCAACGTAAGCAGGGTTAATGTCAGAAGAAAAAGTATAGCTCTAAACTCCTGCCCAAATGCTCATCAGTAGAAAGCATGCTAAATTTGAACAGAATCCTGTTTTCAAAATTTAGGCAATAGATTGGAAGGTTGCAAAATAAAGGATCTCTCTCCAGAATATATAAAGTACCCTTACAACTCAATAGGTGAGAGATAGGCCAGAGATTTAGCTCAGCAGTTTCGCCGCCTGCTGCGCAAGCACAAGGACCCGAGTTCGATCCCCGGTACCAAAAAAAAAAAATAGGTGAGAGATAATTCAATTAAACATAGGCAAAAGATCTGAAAAGACACTTCACAAATAAGATTTACAGAGTTCCCTCTGCATATGAAAATACTCAGCATCATCAGTCATGAGAGAAATGTAAATTAAAGCTGCAGTGAGGCACACTATAAACTTACTTGGAATGCCCATGATCAAAAAGACACTAACATATGTCGGCCACATGGAGAGACAGGGACCCTCACACTGCTGCAGAAACATAGAACAGCATACTCAATTTGGACAACTGGACAGTTTTTTTAAAGAATTTAACATATGACCCAGCGATTCCACTTAGATATCTACCAAGGGAAATGAAACTGTCCATATAAAGAGTTGTATGTGAATGCTCAGGGCAGTGTTACTGATAATAATCAGAACTCCAGATGTCCAGCACTAATGAATGAACAAGTCAAACGTGCTGCAGCCATACAGAGTAACAGTATTCACCAACGAGGAGGGAAAAAGTCTGCGCCAGCCTCACAAGTGCAAGGTCCTGAGTTCGATCCCCAGTACCAAGGAAAAAAAGAAAAGAAAAAGGGAAAAAGTACTTATGCATGCTATAACGTGGATGGAACTTAAAAACACTATGCTAACTGGAAAAAGCCAAATGGAAAAGATCACATATGGGTGATTCAAATTACACAAAATGTCCAGAAGTCAACATTACAGAGAAAGCATGGAGATCGGGGGCTCTCCGGGGCTAGCATGGGGATGGGGAGTGATCACAAATGGGCCTAGCCGTCTTCTGGAGTTGAAGGAAATGTTCTGAAATTTGATTGTGGTGATGCTTCTGCAACTAGGTAAATTAAGTAAAAAATCATTAAATTATACATGCAAAATGGATGAATGTTGTTATATAAAAATTATACCTTGAGAGAATTGTTTAAAAAACGTTTCACCTAGGCAAAAAAATTAATGTTCCTAAGTCCACCAAAGCTTGTACCATTTCAAGACAAAGTGAGACCCAATTCTGTCCACTGAAGGGAAATTTACCTGATCTGGATATCAGATAAGCAAACAACAGGTGAGAAACCTGTCAAATATTTTTCTCCGGAGACCCCTCCCTCTTACCCTACGGATCCCTACAGGCAAAGGGGCCATCCCTAAGGGATCCAACACACTGTGAGCACATCACCAAGTCAGCCACCTTCCAGACACAGGAGTCAGCACTTCTCAAACTCCACAGTGAAGGGCCCGTTTTCCTGCCAGTCAGTTCCAGGATAATACAAATACAGTTTTAAATTATAACTACAAATGTCGCGATGCCAAGTAGCTGCAAAGTCTCAAACTGTTGGTTCTGGAGGCCTTTATCTTAGAAACCAGCTCTGAGCCACGGGCCACACTGAAGGCAGCACAGCTATAAAGCACTGCAAAGATGTCTGAAAGCAGCGCTGACCCATCTTCAGTCACCCTTGCCTTTAATACGTATTTCTGGAGCACCTGTGTGCTCGAGAAATACGTCAGGATTGATTCTGCAAAATGCCTGACTCGGAACAACAGCTCCCACTGCAGTCTACCACAGGTGAGGAGTGGCATTCGCCCAGGGAGCCACAAAAGGCACCCTGCTGAATGGAGATACTTTTTAACCAGTTCGTGTGTATTTTGGGTAACAATTTTAATTTGACATATTCTCTTTAAGTGTTCCAATAGCATTTTGGCATCAGTTCCTTTTCTTTTTTTTTTTTTGGTACTGGGAATCGAACTCAGGTCCTTGTGCTTGTGCAGCAGGCGGTGAAATCACTGAGTTAAATCCCCGGCCCTGGCATCAGTTCCTTAATACTTCTACTGAACCCCCCTGAATTCATCCAATCAGTGAATACGGTAACTACATAATTCTAAATAAAAAGCGTGTTTTGACAGCACAGCGCTACTCTGGTCAGCAGAGTGGACAGCAAAGAACAGAACAGACACCACTCCCCACTCTGCCCTCAAGGAGCTTACATTCCAGCCGGGGAGAGGGAGAGAGACAGCCACACAGTTTCAGACTGTCAGATTGCATAGTAAACAAATGATGGAGGGGTTGTGCCAGACCGAGCTACAGGAAGTTGGGACTGACAGGAGGCTTGGCAATTTCAAACAGGGTGGCCAGAGGGTCTTGGTTGAAAAAATGATATTTAGGCCGGGGATATAGCTCGGTGGTGCCGCACCTGCCTAGCAAGCACAAGGTCCTGAGTTCGCAAAAAAAAAGAAAAGAAAAAAGATATTTGAACACAGACCCAAAGGAGGCAACCAAATGACCCAAGCTGATAGATAATGGGGGGAAGAATGTTCCAGAAAAAATACAAAGCCCCAAAGCAGAAGCAATGCTTCGGGAAAAAGCAAGGAGTATGGAACATTTACTTTTCAGACTTCAGGAACTGCAATAGCTGTTAAGTTTGAAATGTTCCATTAAACTCCAGTGCTTGGAGGGCAGAAATCAGGTTTATTCTTCTGTTCCTGTTCTCCCTTGCTCAGTGATAAAACTGTGCAAGTCACAGTACTCTTACATTCTGACAGCACGGCTCTGAGATGTTCCGAGCATAAAGACACAGCCCACAGTCGGAAATCTCCATCCTGTGAAGTCCTCCTCCTTCACCCTCCACACAAAGTCCCTAACAAACCGTTGTCAGTAACTGCCGGCATTGACAGTGACCTCCAGCTGGTCTTAGCTGCGGCCTTTCCTCCAAACAGCTCTTTCAAATACATATGGAAATTCACCTTCATTCCCCAGTATATTAGAAAATTTTAAACTCAACCTCATTTTATGTGTAGCCTGTAGGTTTACAAAAGTTAAGCCAATCGTTATGTATTTCTATTGAAATTTAATGCTTCATTTTTATAACTGGAGAACTACTGTGAATCATGAAATTCAAAGGTTAGTACTGAGACCTAACAATGGACTCACACGTGTGCCTATCACTCTCATTCAGATGTTTCCAGAAATTCCAACTAAACAGCTTGCATACTTGATTTTTCTTGGTAATTTCAATTAGCCCTGGTATTCTTCACTTTCCATTGGGAGGTCTGCTGCCCAGTGCCAACACCTGCTGGGTCCCACAGGAGCACAGTGAGGGGTGGCTCTGTATTTCAGGCTGTGTTTCAGGTCTTCATTAACATACCCAGTGAGGATACAGGGGTGCTGCCTAACTGACTACAGTATGGAGGGTATGTTCTCTTGTAGTGATGGAATCTTGAAATTTGTCAATTCATTTACAGAATTACTCTACTGACACTTTATCAAATAATACATCTTAAGCCCTTATGTACTAGAGCAGCAGACAGGATTTGGAGGGAAAATAAATCCAAGATTTCAGTGGTATCATTTTGTGACCCTGAGTATTATATTTAACGTGGGCTTCAGTGTCATCATTTTGTAAAATGAGAATAATTATATTGTCAAGTGAAATCATGTGAAAGTGCAAAATAAATGGTAGTAGTTGTTAGGCACAGAGACATGACCCGGAGCACAGTTGTTTTCAAACTTTTTGAAAATACAGGCAAATCAAGGTCAGTACAATGGGGCAAAGAACATCTACACATCTAAATTAATGCTCAGATAAAAACAAATCACTACTGTGGGAGGAAATACGAGTTTTGATTTTTTTTTTTTTGGTACCGGGGATCGAACTTAGGACCTTGCACTTGCAAGGCAGGAAGCGGAATCACTGAGCTAAATCCCCGGCCCTGGAAATAGGAGTTTTGATTTTCCAAGTGCCAATTCTGTATTCTTTCCAGATGTCACGAGGTAGGAGGCAGATTATACCCACACATGGTTTCAAACTCAGAGAGAAACCTCAAACAATATCTTGCTTTAAACCCAGAAGTAATTAATGGCAACAGTTTGCAAACAATAGCATTTTCCTAGGCAGTTCTTGTGTCCAGCAATTTGAGCAAGAAACTGGGCAAGGCTTTTGTATATACATCAATTTTGTCTTTTAATTTAAAAAGCAACCCTAAAGTTTTTAAAGGGAAACCAGAGAAAATCAGACTTAGGTTGATAAAGGAAACTGGTACTCACACGTACCCTGCGGCTACACATTGTACACAGGAAAAGGAGAAGGAACCCCCAGGAGGGAGTGGCGGCTCCTGCGCCTGGTCTATTAATTCACATTTTGCTCTCCTCGGTTCACATCCTGCGCGGACTCCACCCAGAGCAACCAAGCGAGGGGGTGGGTGGGACCCAGCCTAGCAAATAACAGTCCCAGAAACCGAAACGAAATCGAGAAGGAATTGTGAAAACACGCTCACCAGAAAGGGGTGGAGAAGGAGCGAGAGGGTACCTTCTTCGGACAGGCCAAGCATCCCTGGCCCTCGTAGCCTCCTGGGAAGCCCCCTCCCCTGAACTGCTTCCAGTTCCCTCCTCTCCTAACCCGGAGGGAGAAACCACTAGAGTGGGACGTGGGTGGGGAACACGCAAGTATTCCGCAGAGATTCTAAAAGATCGAGCGGTGGCAACCTGGGAGAGGCGGAGGGGAGGAAAGAAAACACTGCGGAGCAGGGCACCGTCAGACTCAAGGCAGGATCAGAAGAAGGGCCACCTGTTGAATGGACCTTCCCCGTCCTTCCCCTGCCACCCGGCGTCCCCAGTCCGGCTCGGAGACCGGGACCCCACCCCGAGGACACGCGACGGAGGGAGGCCGGACTGTCACTCACATCTGATACTCGTCTATCGCCTCCACCAGCTGGCCCCAAGAGTCGAAGTCGGCGCCTCTCCTAAAGCTGGCGCCCCAGCGCTGCAGCAGACTGCGGGTCCCCTCCGACATGGCCGGTGCCCGCCCCGGCCCTGCTGCCCCAGCCCCAGCGAGGTCAGGCTCTACGGCGCCATCCTCCCCGGGCCGGGCCCCGACATTAATGGGGCCAGGAGCAAACGCCGCGGGCGCCGCCGCCGCCCGCAGAGGAGCCGCCCAAGCCCATTTGCCGCCACAGCCAAACTTTGAGGCTCCGGAGCGGCCGCCCCCAGGCCCCGCCCCGTCTAGGGCGAGGCCGCCCCGAGCCGCCCCGCCGCCATGCTACTGCGCGGCCCCCCTCGGCGCGGCGGGCCGGCGTCTCTGCCCTGCCTCTCTAGGGACGCCACCGAAGCTCAGGTGGGAGGGCCTGAGAGCGGATGCGAGAAAGGACCGCCGAACAGAGCGTCCCGAGGGACGGCGACCTTAGAGCGCTCACTGCCGCCTCGACAGCTGTCATGGCGACAGTCACGTGACCGCACCCGGCGCCAATCTGGCGCCCTACCGCCTCGCTAGCTGTCATGGAGCCAACCACGTGACCCTCCCCAGCGCGCACCTAGCTTCCCGTTGCCTCGGTAACTGTCATGGCGCCCGTCACGTGATTTCCGCCGCGGCACTGGCTTCCGGTCGCTCTAGTTGAGTACTCTCGGCTGTTCGACTCCCTCTTTTTCTCCCTTGTGGACCTCAATATTGTCCTTCTTCCCTCAGAAGGAGTGCCGCGCTGACTCTGGGGGCCCCGGTAAGTGTGTCAGAGGAGGGGCCTTTACCAGTGCTCTCCCTCCCCTTTGATCCCCTGGTCCCAAGCTGTAGTCCCCCCTCCTTTTTACTCTAGTCTCCATAGACTCTTGGATGCTGCACTAAAAAGCCGGCTTCTGATGCCCTGTAATAGACGAAAGACAGAAATTCCACATTGGTGCCACAAATCAATAATATTGACAGACTCGCCGAGTCCCCTTGCTTCGCGTCTGCATTGGCTACCATAGTTCCCGATAACCCAAGCTGAATAGGGCTGCGTTCGGCCGTCGTTTGCCCACCCCTACCGGGTCGGTGGCATCGGCCTTCCCCTGCAATGCCTGTCCCGGAGTCGGCGCGTGCGCAGTCGCCGCCCGGCGTCTCCGCGGGGGGTACCTTGTAAACAGGAAGTGGGCGCTGGGCTCGCGGCGGCCTCAGGTAGGTCCCGGGCTGGCCTCGTGGTGGGCGTGCAGGTGGCCTTGGGGACCCTCGCTCCTGCACGGGGACGGCCCACCTTCCGCGGGCCAGGCCAAGAGGCGACGCCGAAGGACAGAGGGTCGGAAAACTTGCTCCACGAAATGGAGCAGAGACTGCGGCGCCGCTGTCACAGAGCCCGGCGATGCTGCTTGGCTCAGGCTTTCCCGAAAAGCGGGTTTATCCGGAAGGTGTTCCGATGGTATCTTCTGAAAGATCTTGTAAAACCTTTGAGTCGTAGATGAACATCCCCAGGTTTTCACAGAGGACACAGTGCTTCTCTGGTCATCAAATATGTGTTGCTTGTCAAAAGCAGTGTTGTCATGAATGAGTGAGTAGCAGGAGGTGAGCACCATTGTGCAGCCCACACTGCAGCCTACGTTTATTTCTAATAAGTCTATTGACGACCTTGTGCAACGGCTTCCTGTTTAGAAACCTTGTCAGAATCCTCTCTGACTTCCGGGAATCTGACTGCGGTGTTTAAGCCTCCTTGACCTTCCTATCATGACATGCACTACCGACTGGGTAGGCAGCGTGGGCGGGAGACACCGCCTTTTTTCCATCTTTTTTTTAATTTAGCATTTCACTTAGTTTTTCGAATGTCTTCACTGTTAAAGGTAGAAGTTATTAATCAAATGTACTTTTTTGTTACAGGCTTGATTTTTCCTGCTGTTTTATGGAAAATACCTTTATTGTAGAACACGTGCTAGAACCAATCCATTGGTGTCCACAGTGTGGGGAATATACTTAACTGAAAGCCTGTTTATTTCAGGTAGTTTTAGCAGTGTAAATGAAGGTCACCATTGCAGTGTCTTACGGTAATTTCAAACTTCTAGCCCTGGGTCTCTCTCACCGCAGCTGTCAACTGGAGTCTCCGCGCTCAGAACTGCATCAGCATCCCAGGTCCCTTCCTCACACAGTGAGCTAGAACTTTCCCACAAGACTGCCTCACCCTCAGCTGAATTTTGTGCACATACAGTAAATGTTGCTACAGCAGTGTTAAAATACATTTCTTTTTTGGGGGGGGTACCGGAGATCGAGCTCTGGACCTTGTGCTTTCGAGGCAGGCGGTGGCACCACTGAGCTACATCCCTGGCTAAAATAAATTTCTGTAGTGTATTTTGACATTGAAGTTACTTTGAGCAACTTTCTAAATGCAATTTTTTTTTATCACTGATCTAAATATGGACTATCATAAATAGATCATCAGTTAAAAGCACATTGATTTGTGGATGTAAACTATTTTATTAGTATATTGTATATGTTTTATATATAATAGCTTACATGTAAAATACATGTATGCTGCTGGACAGTGGGATAGTAGAAAGGAGATTGGGCTGAGTATTGCAAGTGCACACCTGCACCATCGGCCGGCTTTATTGGGGGAGGAAGGGGGGGGTCCAGCCCAAATGGGCCTTTGGCTGAGGACAGTGAGCAGCGACTGGTTGAGTGACCAAGCTGCTGCTCACAGAACAGACAGCAGCAGGGTTTTGTGGATTTGCTGGTGTGGACCAAAGCCCGATCATATTGATTCCTAAAGATGTTTCCTTTTGTGACAGACTTGGAGCACCAGGTCATAACACTCAGTTCATTCTAGAGATGGTTGAATTTTTGTATATCTGATGCCTTTATCCCGCACAAGACATCTTGGTCTTGTACTTGGCGGACTAACAGCCCATCAGCTTGTGCTTGGGAACTGCTGAGCACTTGACAGGCATCCTCGTCCTGCGTAACCATCCTGGCCTTAGGAGAGGGCTGAAGGGCTTAGAGCTCCTGAAAATTACAAGTTAGGATAGAAGGAACGCACAGCAGTAGGCAGATTGACCATGTATCATAGTCTTGGGCAAAACATTTTCAAATGATGAATTTGTCCATGTGCGGAGGTGAGTACAGTTTGGCCTCAGGGTTGAGACAGCAGAGGGGCAGACACAGTATGAAGACAGATGCCAGTCCTTTATCCCATTTAGTCACCCATCAAACATCTGTAGCCCTTGAAGAGTCAGTGTTCTCAGCAAAAGCAGGCTCAGGTCCCTGGGAAATAACCCAGCAACTGTCACCACATTCCAAATGTCATGGCCTTATCTACAGCAAAGCTGGTGGGAACCTCATAATATATGCCTTATGTGTAACCTTCGTAAGCTGACTAAAAAGGGAAGCTAGAGGGCTTAATTAGGCTCTTTTTCTTTCTTTCTTTTTTTTTTGGTAACAGTTTCTTATTTCATGCAAACATTTTACTTTTGTGGTTTGTCAGGATCTTGTGGTCGGTCCCTTGAAAAATGCCATGCTGTGAAGGGTGATAGGTCAGTTGCTCTCAGGGTTTATCTCGCCTTCCCACTGTTCTGTCCTACCACTGTCCCCCAGGGGGCCCTGTCTCATGTTTTCTAGTAAACTCTTGATTTAAAAATAGTTATTTTTATACTGTATTCATTGTTTATGAATTTTTTAAAAATTTTATATATATTTTTGTGTACAGAAGACATCTGGAGAAAATGACCCATTGGTTTCATAGGAACCCACTAAAAGCTACAGCTCCTGTCTCTTTTAACTACTATGGTGTGGCCACTGGCCCTCCTGCTTCAAAAATTTGCAAGTAAGTTTTAGTCAGAGTCAACAAGCATGAGATTTGTTGTCACTCTTAGATACAGGTATTTTTTTACATGGGCAATACAGGAATATGTAACACATCATCCCTAACTTTCCCTTCTTATTAGATTGTAAATGACAGTGAAGCGTGAAATCATAGATTATTTAAACTTTGGTTGTCATCTAGGCCTTCGTCATTAATTTAAGACTAGTGTAAGAGTCCCGGGAGACCAAAGCAGTGAGAGCGATAGAGTTAAGCTTGTTTTACTGTAGTGAAGGAGACCCCATAAAGTAGGATATGGACATTATTAATTGGCTGGCTAGTAAATTCATTGAGTTCAGAGCTGGGAGAGGTCCCTGTGACTTGGAATGGCCATCACAGAGGTCACACAGGAGAAAGGACGGGAGCTGGGTTTAAATTTTATGGCTTAGTTCAGGAGTTGGCAAACTGCCCCACAGGTTCAGCCTGTTTGTTTTTAAAGATAAAGTTTTGTTGGAGCCCAGCCGGACCCATATCTGTTCAGACCCTGCTGTGGCTGCCTCCTGAGCAGCAGAACTGAGTAGTCCTGACAAGACCTTGTGACCCACGGAGCCTGAGGCTGAAATGTTTATTCTGTGGCTCTATACAGAAAGTGTTCGGGAAGGTCCCTGATCCAGGTTGGGTGGGAGGAAGAAAGTCCCCTCTGTCTGAAGAACCATCAACTGGGGAGAAAGGGAAGAGTTATTTGGCTGCAGCAAACAAGAGAGGCAAGAGATACTTCCCAGGAGCCAGCTGACCTGACGGTCTGATGGCTGTGGAGACCGAACAGGGTGCGGCCTCAAGGAGCTGTAACCTGGGCAATGAAGACATTGTTAGGGCCAGTAAGGGAGAATCAGAGGAGTCACAAATCTCTAGACCAGTGGGCAGTAAACTTTATTTTAAAAGCCACTAAATAGTAAATGTTTTAGGTTTTGTGGGCCACATATTTGTGGGCTTTCTTATTCTGCAACCTTTATAAATGTAGAAACCATTCTTAAAATCTCAGTAGACTTTTTTTCGGTACCGGGGCTCAAACTCGGGACCTTGCACTTGCAAGGCAGGCAGTGGCACCCCTGAGCTAAATCCCCGGCCCTGTAGAAACCATTCTTAGTTTGAGAGTGGAACACAAATAAGTTGTGGGCCATAGGAAAACAAGCTGCAGGTTATAGCTTGCTGACCCCTAATGTACCCTCCCTGATGCTGGTTGCCAAGTAGCAGTTTATCTGTAGCAGTAGGTAAGGCTCTCGACTTTGGACCTGATTTCTGAGGTGTCAGGTGCAGCCTAAAGCATGTATTTCTAAGGTTTATTTTCCTCAAGTTCTGTACTTTTAAGATGAGTTTAGCTTTACACAATTCGGGCTCTCGGTGACGACTGAGCACCTAACATGGAAATTTCTGGCACACAGTACTTGAGCCTAAAATAGGCCTGAAGGATTTAAAGAAATTCCAACTTCTTCTTAGTTCGGGAGTCACCCTTTCAGCTTCTAGATAAATACCTCACACTATGACATGATCAGAAGCCTGCTCATTCTTGGTCACCGATGTATAATTGATAAGTACTTTCTTGAGGTAAGACTCCTTAGAGTCAGTGCTAATGTGAAGGCACTGCATTGAGACCATTCAGGGTGAAGTCCATCCCCTCCTGTAAACATGACAGCTACCTTACAACCCTTCCCAATCAGAGGAAGACATTTGAAAGCTGATGTTCTTGCACTCAAACATTTTGGGTCTGTGCTTTATCCTAGCACCTCCTAAATTCTGGGTCTGCACCCCCTACTCTCTGGGTGCCTCACAGTTAGAGTTAGTCTTTCTGTAGTCATTTGCACACATTTCAAGTACCTGCAGCCTTTGTGATTTCTGGAACCTTCAATAAGCTAGTTAATTGCCTTCTGTACAATATATGGAAGGGAAGTGAACAGAACAAGTTAGAGCTGACAGTTTAGATCTTGAAATGGAAGTAGTGGAAGATGAGATCTCAGAAGGGAAAACCAGAGCGCCAAAGACCAAAGTTTTTTAGGATAAGGAGACATAGTTAAAAGTACAGAAAGAATCTGTAGAGATGGGAGAAGCACCTGGGAAACATAGTATTATGGGAAAAAAGAATTTCAAAGAGGAAAAGGCAGCTCTGCAGTATTTTTGCTGCAGAGAAATAAAGGAGTGGAGACACGAAAACAGTTCTAAAACTAACGGCCATGCGTTTTTATACGTTCTCCATGTGCTCTGAGTGGTGGAATGCAATTTCACTTTTAAAATAGATTCCCTTTAAGGAGATACTAAAAGTAGACACAAATATATTCAATTTCCATTATTTCCAAAACCTTTTATCATGAACTGGTTGAAGTTGCTCATTTTTTAATTCCTCCCCTCAATCTGAAATGCATGCATCTGTTCGATTTTTTTTTTTTTTGTATCAGGGATGGGAACTCAGGACCTTGTGCTTGCGAGGCAGGCGGCGGCACCCCTGAGCTAAATCCCCAACCCTGTTTGATTTTTTTAATTGAAACCTGCTACATATTTTTATTACATAGTTGTTTCCACGATTTGCCCCTTAATTGGACTGGGTTGATTTTAGTGTAGTATGCCTTTTTAAACAATTGTTATTAGTAACTTCATTATCTCTAGATTTATCCCTGTGTACTCGGTAATAGCTTCAAGGAAGTGGAGTGGGTATTAAGTGGTGTATTTCAAAGCTTTTGTATTGAAACCTTTAAGCTGCTTTTACATGGAATATGTAACACAGCCTCCATCACTTTACCTGCCCTGTTTCATGTAAGTGACCTGAGATCATCCAGGGCACGCCTCCTTGAACTGTTCACTGATCTGAGCTGTGACCCAGAAATGATGAAGAATGCAGTAGATTCATACTTTTCACTTCTGCAAGGTTGGTCATTTATATTTACTTCTGCGTTAAAAAAAAATTTTGAAGAAGTTCACATTAATTCTTAGACTTCATAAATTTGGATAGTTTAGTGTTGCAGGCTTTGATAGGCATGAGTTTCAAAACTGAGATTGTAATGGTAGTGTGTGTTCTAACATTTTGGAAATTAAATGTATATGTATTTCATATGATGTAATCTCAGGAGACAGTGAAGATGTAGGTAGTTGGGGAGAGAAGGGCCAGAAGTTTCATTCAGACACCTGGAAAAGTAATTATCTGACAATTTTTAAAATAGAACGTGATATTTCTTCTAAAACTAAAATGTCGTGTGCCTTCTTATAGGTTTCATAAATTCACCAGATGAGTCTACACAGGAAAGCAAGTTACGATATATTCAGAATTTCAAGTGGACTGATACATTACATGGACAGGTTCCAAGGTAAACAGCTCATGTAGGTTCTGAATCAAAGCAAGTCGTTGACTCAGCCTCTGTATTTGAAGGCGATAAATGGAGGTCTGATCAGCATTTTTTTCTCACCAGGAAATTAATTAAAGGCATTTTAAGTGAAAACATTTCTCCCAGACCAATCTATTCTTGAGATAATCAGTACAAATATTAACAGAATTGAACAGCTGAGACTTAATTTTTAATAACACCTGAAGAAGGTTTAGGGAATGTGGAACCCAAACTGACTTTCAGTCTTTGCCTAGCTTTAAGCCAAGCAGAATTGTGGTTTTTCCCAACTTTTTTTTTTTTCCCCGATGGCTAGTTCAGATGTGTTTGGTCAGTCTATTTTTTTTCTCAACTGCATACTCTTTTTTGATTCTCAGCATTTGTTTTCTCCTGTTTCTCTTCACTTTTTCTGCTCTTCTTAAAAAACGTCCCTTCAGAGTTTTTCATCTACCACTATTTGTAACTACCACTATTTGAAACTATTTGTAGTAGATCTCATTACAATAGGAATTAGATCATTGTGGGGCTGACTTTATTTGGCCACTTCTTTGAAAACACCATTGGATTGTCAAGGGGCCTATATATCTTGATTTGCTTTAGAATTACTGTTTTATAAAACAGAAAGGAAGGGACTGGAGATTGCATGGGAACGGGGTGGTGCATGCAGGCTGTGAAGTCTCACCTACCTAGATGCACACCCTCGTTTTCTACTGAGTGGACGTTTGCTGCTCCAGTAGGTTTTGGGGTCAGGGAACTTAGGAACAAAACAAGAAAACTTACATTAAGTGAATAAGAATGCAGGCATATAAAGAGATAGTCATCAGATGTTTCATTCCTTGTTTGGGAATATTGTGTGTAGAATTCATAAACTGGGTAGGAAACGGGGAAGGTAGGTCCTTTCCAAATATTAGTGTTCTGGGGTACTGAGGTTTTCTAATACTTTATTTTCTGTTTTTCTTTGTGATCCCTTTTTCATCCAAAATTAAGGAATTTTTAAAATTTAAAGAAGCAAACCTTTATTATTATTGCTTTACAAACTTTAACAGATTCTAAAATGTTTTGCATTACATAAATTTGGCACTCTTCCCTTGTGCCAAATTTTTATTCCATGTTACAGCAAGCTGCTGTTTATCATTGTTTCAGCACTTTATGATACAGGGAGGGATTACATGGTGAATACCTTAAGTAACACTGAAAATTCAGCCCGCATAAGACGTGATTTCCACTTACTCAGTAGAAGCAACTGTGAATATATCAGTTCCGAAAAGGGTTTCCTCAGCTGAGTGTGCTCCGAGTACCACCAAGGTGTTGTGCTACAGAAGTGGGGTATTTTGGAACAAGATAGGTTGAAATTAATGAAAAAGGAGAGAGCTGTTCATGAGTCTTCACATACATTAGCAAAACTGTCTCGTTATTTAAAGATAAAGTTATAAGTTAGATGTGCCTGCTGGATCATCGGGCATCACTCACTCAAAAGTTCTTCATGGTGGGGCCGGGGATTTAGGTCAGTTGTTCTGCCGCCTGCCTCACAAGGAGTTCGATCCCCGGTACAGAAAAAAAAAAAGTTCTTCATGGTGAAAAGAGTAAGCCATCTTTCATTTCTAAGAAGGTAAAACCATTGTAAGGAGTAAACAGGAGTTTATAAATTATTTTTAATTGCAGTAAGTTTTCTCACTCTTTGTGGTGATGGCAATTGAACCCAAGGCCTTACGCATGTCCAGCAGTGCTCTAGCACTGAGCTACATCCAAGACCACAGATTTTTTTCTAATCTAAAATGTTGACATGGCTCATATCTTTCACAATATATAAAAAATACAACATACAGTTAAAATTTTAGTTTTTCCTTTCCTTTGCGTAACTTTTCTGTATCTTAGTATTTCATGTGTAAAGTAACTCTATTACTTCTGCCTTCCTATTTCATCATTTGAAATAATGTGTAGGAATATTCAGGCTCTTGGAATGACAGTAAATACATTGGTGTTAGTATTTTATTTGTTTAATATGTTCTCGCTGTCTTTATCCCCTAATTAGTGATAAAATATGAAGGAAACGGGGTAAAAATGCTTGCTTTCAAGACCTTTTTCTTTGTAGAATACTGAGTGGGTTGGCGTTCAGAACCCTTCTTCAGTTACGTTTCTTTTAGGGTTTTTGTACTTCTTTGCCTTGATTGCTTTTTACACACTGTCTGCTTCAGTCAAGCAGGTGGGATCAGTCCTATTGAAATAGCTTTCTTGTGCTTTGACATCATCATTTCCTCACCTAGCGTGTCTTTCTGCTTCCCTTCTAGTCATCATCCTTCAGGGCATAGTTTAGATTTTATAAGTACCAGTAAGACTTCTTAATGATTCTAGCCTAAAAAGCCACCTTTCCTCTGAATTCCATTTTCTTACTACATTGTGTAAGTACCACCCATTTCAGAATACAAATACTGATTCTGGACCCTGTCCCAGACTTTCTGACTCTCTGAAGTTAAGCCCTAGAAATTCATATTTTTAAATCTATTCATGTATAGTTAACTTTGGGAGCCACTATTCTCAGTTTATAAGTTATAAGTGTGAAGTACATACTGGACCAGTATATTTAACCATTCTTTTTTTTTTTTTGGTACCAGGGATCAAACTCAGGTCCTTGCGCTTGTGCAGCAGGCAGTGAAACCACTGAGCTAAATCCCTGGCCCCTAAGCATTCATTTTTAATTACTGTATGTCTTTATCTCTTCATCTATATTAAACATAAGAACTCAAGAACTACTTTCTTTTCTTCCTTTTTTTCTCTTTGTAGACACACACATATAAGTTAGCTTATAGTTTGTAATTGTGAACTGAATATCTAGTATGCTTCATGTAGCAATGTCATAATAATTTGTAGAACTTAACTGAATGTATTTTTAACTTCAGTGCCCAGCAGGATGCTGTTTTTGAATTAATTTCCATGGGATTTAATGTAGCTTTGTGGTATACCAAATATGCTTCAAGACTGGCTGGAAAAGAAAAGTAAGTTAAAAAGAAAAATTTGCATGGATATATATGTTATCTTTCAAATATATTGAGTTTCATTTTTAAAAATTCTTGGCCATTGATTAAAAAGTGCTACTTAGGGTAAGTGAAAGCTTGCCTTATTTTTTTTTTTTTTTTTGGGGGGTACCGGGGATTGAACTTGGGTCCTTGCGCTTGCGAGGCAGGCGACAGAACCACTGGGCTAAATCCCCGGCCCTACAATTGCCTTATATTTTAAGTACTGTATTAGAATTATGAAGCCTAGCATTAAATGGGAAGTTTTTTAATAATCTTATCATGTGGAAGGTCTTTCTGAATAAGACCCCAAACCATGAAGACAATAAAGTAAAAGATTGAATAAATGACTGCATAAAAGTATTATCAATATATATATATTTATTATCAACAAAGTTTAAAAACAAAGTTCAGAATTGGTCAAAAATATTGCAATGCATATGATAAATTATTTTTATAATGTATGCTATTACAAATCAAAAAGGAAAATAAGCAAAGAACATAAACAGGTAATTCAAAGAAAAAGAAAAGGCTCGTAAATATATGAAAAGATGTCTTGAAGGACTAAAGAACTGCAAAGTAAAATGATTGATTTATAACTTTTATATAGCTAATGTGGTACAACACTTGGAAACTGGCAGTCAGTTATGATTCATCCATACATAGGAGTAATGTGCAGCAACTTAGAAATGAAACTAAATTTTGTGTGCTGATGTAAAACTGTTTCTGTACCATAGTGATTAAAATAAGCAGAATAATGAAATGTATCTACCATTGTGCATATATTGAGTGTTTAATGTTTGTGCTTGTTTATGACAGAAGAGTCTGGGAGGAAAAAAAAGACTTTGCCCAGAGTTTACCTGTAGGCAGGGTCTCTGGTTTTTTTTTTATCAGTTCTATCTTCTCTTCGTTGTCTTAGTTACTTTCTCATTGCTAAGACGAAATACCTAATACCCACAAGTTAAAGGAGGAAAGGTTTATTTTGGCTCACAGTTTGTAGAGATTTCAGTCCATAGTTAGCTGCTTCCAAGGCAGGGTGGCACGGCAGAGGGCCATCACAGAGGAGAAACAGTCCATGGCAGGGTAGGCAGGAAGCACCAAGACTTCCTTCTTTCCCTTTTTATTTCATCTAGGCTACAAGTTGGTTAATGGGTCTTCCCTCTTCAGTAAATCCATCACTCACACCCAGAACTGTGTTAAACCCATCAGTGGACTAATCCAGTATCACACCCATGACCCAGTCACTCCCCAAATCCCCATGTATGAGTGCATGAGGCTTCGGGGGCCATTTAGATATCAACCATAACATATTTTTCATGTGCATTTCTTAAGTGTCAAAATCAGATGTCTTTAGAGGAAGAAAACTAGTGGTGATAAGCAGAAATAACTTAGTTTGGTTTAATAATTATATATTAGTTGTTGATTTTAGTAGCCAACACCAGTTCTATCCTCTAATGTACTTGCTGTCTTCAAGCATAACAGAAGATGAAGCAAAGGAGGTCCACCGAAGCCTAAAAATTGCGGCTGGAATTTTTAAACATTTGAAGGTAAAGAAACATTTTTTTATGTATTTCTAATGCTTTAGTTCTTGAATTTTTTTTTTTTTTTTTTTTGGTAAGGGAGAGAAAATGATTTCATCTGTAGAGTCCAGTCCCTCCAGACCCTGTGGAGCATGTGCTCCTAGACAGACTGCCCCTTTTCCTAGGGAACCAGAACTCTGGATGCTCAAGTCCCTTTTATAAAATGGTGTAATATTTGCGCGTGACCCATACACAGTCTCCCTTATACTTTTAAAATCCTCTATAATAAGTAATGCAAAGTAAATGCTGTGTAAATTGTTGTACCATATTGTTAAGGGAGGAATGACTAGGAGTAATGACATATTCAGCACAGACGCCATGTTTTTTTGTTTGGGCTTTTTGGTTTTTTGTTTTTTCTGGTACCGGGGATCAAACTCAGGACTTTGCACTTGCCAGGCAGGTGCAGCGCTGCTGAGCTATATCCCCAGTAGATGCCATGTTTTATTCCAATGTTTTTTATACAAAGCAGTCAGTCTGCAGGCGTGGAACCCTCAGACAATACAGGGCCAGCTGATCACATCTGTTTCCAGTGTGAACTACCTTATTCACGAGGGCAGCCAATTTCTGATTAGTTGTGTCTCCATGTAGTGTGGACATTCCCAGTCTCTATCACAATTAGGAAATTCAGGTTGTGATGCCATGCTTATTTTTGTCTCTTCTGAAAAGATGGGAAAATGAACCAGAGAAATTAGTTTTTCTCATTCTCTCATTGCTCTCTGGAGCAGCTCCCAAGCGCAGGCCCAATTCCACCTTAGCTGAACTTCGATTGTGTCCTGGACATCTCAGTGCAAACACCAGAGAAGCAGTCGTTGCATTCTAATGATACTGAGCTACCTGGAGATGTGTTGGAGTTAGAGAAAGAGAATGTTATTTTCCAGCCGGAATTCCCTCCCCTCATTTTAATTAAACTGGTATTTACTGAAAGCCTCCTGGAGCCCAGTGTTGGGTTTTTTAATAGCGTAAGATGCTTTTACAGTAATCAGAGGCTGTGAAGAACTGGGTATGGAGTTGTAGTGTTTTCTCTCCCTCTATTAATGTGAATGAACAGGTCAGGCTGTCAAGCAAAAAGGAATTTTGGTTACTAGTTAAAACATTCTCTAAGTTGAAATTATGCTTTGCATATCTAAGCAATCTACATATTGTAATCCAAATTTGTTTTTGAATTTCTTATGAAGTTGAGTGTTATTATATATAGAAGCTTATATTCTCTGTGAGCTTACTATTACTCCTTTTTGTTCAGCTCCTTAATTTCTGGTAAGTCTTCAAACTGACTGTCTCAAAACCTCCATTTTCCTCATCTCTGATACCTGGGTTAAAAATCAAACTCGGCGTCTCTGCGTTATGTCTTCTTTTCCTCAGGAAAGTCACATCCCAAAGCTTATCACGCCTGCAGAGAAGGGACGGGATCTGGAGCCCCGGCTCATAGAAGCATATATTAGCCAGTGTCAGGCAGAAGCTCAAGAAGGTACCCTGAATTCTGTAAGATTGTTTTTAAAGAAAATCTGTATTGGCTTTTAACTTTTCTTTCCTTTATATCAGAAATAGCCATATAGCTATAATCCTGTTTCAGGTTTTAAGAAATTTGTAGGAGGAGTAACTTTCCCTTTAACATCTGGTTTCATAAAGGAAAAGGCCTTATAGGTTAATGGCTCTTGTAGAGTTTGGAAAAAATCAGGTGTGGTAGTCTATACCTCTAATCCCAGCTACTTGGGAGGCTGAAGCAAGATGGTCACAAGTTCAAGGCCAGCCTGGGCAACACAGCAAGACCCCATCCATCTCAAAACAATAAAATACGTGAATAAATAGTTTTGGTTCCATACCATTCCAGACAGTGAGACTCGTGTGATAACACTGAATTTCATAGGCTTTGGTTTTTCTTTCTTTAATCAAACTCTGGTCCTCTGAAATTACCGTTCTTACTGTATCATGCTATTTGTAGTAATTCTCTGAGATTAGCTAAGAAATTGGCTGGTGATTGATTGAAAGAAATGGTATCAAAACCACCAATCTCAGTGTTTTCATTTGTGTTTGAATTTTCCATAACTTTTTGTGTTAAACTTGGACTGCATGAAAACCCAGAAGGTTGTCAGGCTGTCTTTTGGTGTTCTCATTGAACTTACTTCGAACGAGTGTGATTTACTTCCAGATCTCTTCTCTTGTATTTTCCTTACAGTGACAATTGCCAGAGCAATTGAACTAAAACATGCTCCGGGGCTGATTGCCGCGCTGGCCTATGAAACGGCCAATTTCTACCAAAAAGCCGGTAAGCTTCTACATGATTCTTTTATTGCACTTTTAGTCTTTAGATTTTCAGGTTTGTTGCCTCTGGGCTGAACAGGGGATGAAAATGAAAGATTTCTCAGATTTTTCCAGTATCTGCAAAACTGGAATGTCTTCATTATTATATTGATCTTGTTTTAAAGAAATAGAGCTGCTCATTGTTAATAGGCTACATAACTAGAAAGGACAGGGCTGTACTTTGTAACCAGTCATAACTAGTAGCTGTACAGCTTACTTTCGACATTGGTTTTGGTCTTCATAACAATCTTAGCATTGCTGCAGCGTTCTTATTTAGACCAGAAACCAAACTGGAGCATTCAGGTGCCCAACCTGTCACTGCAGCAGGTGAGGGCGGGGAGGACACTGCCCCTCTGGTGATATTATTCTTTGTGTTCACCTGTTTAAGAAACATGCGTGTATTTCCGTTTAGGAAATAGTTACTATTTTAGCTGCTGAGTAGAGCCAAGTTAAATAGATTCGAAGCCTCGGGACAGAGGCAAACCTGTAACCTCAGTATGCTGTCACGTGATACATGATATTCTTGTAGCATTAAAGTAAGAACCTGAACAGTCAGGGCTGCTAGGGAAGGCTTTCTAGAGGAAGGTGGCATTTCCCGGGAACCTGCAGCCCATGAGAGTAGAACATCTGTACCGCGTACAGAAATGAGCAGGGGCTGAGCACTTTCTGGGGGCTGCGGACAGCTGCTCATCGCTGAGACCAGGCTGGAAGGAAGGAGACGATGCTGGGATGTGTGTGGGGTCCAGAGTGGCTCGTAAGCCCATCCGAGACGTCTGCCCTGACTCTAGATAGCTGGGACCTCCCACAAGGCGCCAAGTGAGTCTGCCTCGCTTGGATCTGCTCTAAGAAGACCTGTGGCTGCCCTGTGACAGGCTTGCTCCACAGGGAGGGACCTGCGCTGACCTGGCACTGATGAGGGCGGTGATGAAGATAGTGAAGTGGACCTCAGCAGTGTGGGTGTGAGTGTGGAGGGCTGTGGGAGTGTGTTTGACACAAGATTCCATGAGACAGTGGAGGAGATGAGCACGTCCGCCGTGTCCCTGCCAGGACGAGGCCACTCCTCCTGCTGCTGGGCTATGTAAACTCAGGATGTTGCAACAAACAGTACTTACTTTGACGTTCTTGGTCACATTAGCATTTCAGTAACTTAAAGTTCATTAACCATCAAATCAGAGAGGTGCTGTGATATTTAACTGTTGTTATACGGGGTTTTTTTGCATAAATGCTTCAGTTTTAGACTTGAATGGCATTCTGCTTTTAAAAACAGAACAGATAAACTAAAAGTCTCCTAGTGAATCAGGGTGAAATTATATTTTGCTTTTTAAAATGTAACTTTAGATCATACTTTATCCAGTTTGGAGCCTGCATATTCTGCTAAATGGAGAAGATATCTTCACTTGAAAATGTGTTTCTACACAGCTTACGTGAGTATGAATAACCCTAAAAACAACAGATTATTGGGAGGGCCAGGGATTTAGCTTAGTGGCACCGTGTCTGCCTTGCAAGTACAAGGTCCTGAGTTCAATCCCTGGTACCAAAAAAACCCAGAAAACAGGTTACTGGGGCTCATCTCCCCAGACTCAAGTTCTTTAGCATTGTACACGTAACGGACAGTTCTCAGGAAATGCTGACTGCCAGTGGGGAACTGAAGCAAGTTGGGAGAGACATGGACTCGAGCCCTGGGATACAGGGTCAGAGTTGTGCTTTGACTTGAAGACTGCTTTCAGGCTGGGTCCTTCCGCACAGCCAGTGAGAACTCTCAGTCGTGTCACCTGTGCACTGAGAGCGACACTGATTATTTCGGAAGTCCCTTACCAGTGTAGTCTGCCCACCAAATGTAGCTGTTTGATTGCTTAGTATCATTAGCGGGACGATCAAAGCCGTTTCAGGTCCGAGTTGGTCTGAGTGCAGCGAAGAGAGCTGTTGGAGGCCATGTGTGGTCTCTGCAGTGATGTGGACAGTTAAAGAAGAAGCCTTCAGGCTGGTGCACCTTTCTCTTAAAGCCTCTCTGGTCCTTAACATCAAAACACGTGTTCTGTGTTAGTACACAGTACTTTGCTCCTTTAACTGCTCTGTCTTGATTTTAAAAGCAGATTTCCACAAGTAACTTCTCAGGATGCAGATAAAAGGCTATTTTGGCTCAAATCTTGACTGATTCCACCATTTATAGGAACAGAGATGGGGAAAAGCTTGCCCAAGTAAAGAGATGTAAGGGGTTGTGCTGGTACCTCAGACGAGCGTAAAGGCGTGTGTGTCTGACACGTGCGTCAGTCTAGGGGAGTAAGGAGGGTCTCTTTCACCAGGCGTACTGTTACCACGGTCAGACCCTGCTGGCTGCCGATAAATGTGGTGAAGCAATCAGGTCCCTCCAGGAAGCAGAAAAACGTGAGTGTTCCTGTCTGAATTTTAACTCTTCTGTAAAAAACAAAGGTTTTATCCCAAAACAATAAATAGGCAGCTGAAGAGATATCGGCTGAGCTCCTCGGGGGGAGTGGGAATCAGTGAGGCCATTGGAGGATGGAAAGCAGTGTTTCTAACCCAGAACCTGTAGCAGAGGCCCGCTTCCCACTTGCAGGTGCAGCATGGGTGTTGCTGTCACACTCTGCAGAAGCAGCAGAAGCCTGGCCCCCGGACTTGAAGCTTTTTCACTATAAATAAGCACCGCATAACTGTTATCAAATGACTGTCTTTCCCACGTAGTGTATGCCAAGGCAGAAGCACTCTGCAAAGAGTATGGAGAGACCAAGGGGCCTGGGCCTACGGCCACACCTTCGGGACACCTGTTCTTCAAGAAGCTGGGAAACCTGGTGAAAAGCACACTGGACAAGTGTCAGAGGGAGAACGGGTTTATGTGAGCACAGCTTCGCATCTTGTGTGCTGTTTTTGTCTGTTCATAGTACTAAAAAGCTAGCCTCTCACCAATGTCCCAGTCTCTTAGGGATAAAGCTCGAGTGGGTGCAGCCTCATTTTTATCCTGTATCTGTTGATGATGTGTAAAAAATAGACTGCAAGATTTGAACGTGAATTAATAGCGCATAGCTCAGTTCACCAGCATGCTGCATGATGTCCTCGTTTTCTCTTTGTCCCCTGTCATTCTTTCTGTTGAATACATTTCTATGTGCCTTACCTATTCCTTTGCATGTTCACCTCACTCTAGTGTTAGCTCCCTGTATAGCAGAAGATGAATTGTCTCACAGTCTGTCCTGGTCCTTTCCGGCAGTTTTCCATTCTTGAGTCAGTGTTTAAGCCACAGGTCAGCAGCTCTGGGGGTGGTAGAATCAGTCCTGCCCCTCCCTTTGCCTCTCATTCTTCCACTGGTGCTCTGCGTCTGGCCATACTGAACCTTTCCCTGCCTCAAGTGTACCCAGCTCTCCTTTCGTCGCTGACCCCAGCTGTTTGTCTTCTCCTGGCAGTTTGTGTCCTAAGCAGCTTCAGGGACAGTGCATGCTGCATTGACATTTTCAGCTGCTTCTCTGTGAGCTGCAGGAAGCAGAGAAATCTTACTCATCATTAAATCGGGCTTTGAACCTGTTAGGAACTCACATAGTCACTGAATGAATGAGTGAACCACTATTTAAATTGCTTTTTGCAGTTACTTTCAAAAAATTCCAACAGAAGCCCCGCAGCTGGAACTCAAAGCCAATTACGGGCTGGTAGAGCCTGTGCCTTTCGAATTTGCTCCTGCAAGCGCTCAGTGGACACCAGAAACGCTGGCATCATTTGACCTCACCAAGAGACCCAAGGACGAGAGGGTATGAGCTGGGTTCTTCTATTTTCAAATTTGAAAAGAGAATCCAGAGTTAGCATTTGATAGCTTTTTCAGTTTGGATACAAAGTGCGTCTGAGTGTTAAGCCAGCTGATTGCAGTGTGCATATGACTGAGGCAGATCACTCTGAGAGGAAGCCTCTGGACCTTCGGGCTCTTCGGTTCTTCACAGGACGTTGTTCCCAACACATGATCTTGCCTTTGTATAACGTGTCAGTGCCTCCTTGCAAAGCAGTTGGGAAAGATCATCGTGTTTGTATTGCTGTGGCCCTTCTCTCTTTTTGATTTGGCATTGTTGCAGGTATTTGAAGATTTGCTCTAGTTCAGCATTCTCTGAATCATCCAAGACAAAGTATTTTATTTACTAAATCTAAGTATGTCTTGGTATTGAGCTCAGTAGTAGTTTATATGGAAATTTTGAAATTTAACTACCAAAAGACCAGGGACCTGTAACAGAAGGAAAAGGAATTATTTTGCAGCCATAAACCCACCCTTGAAATTGTATTTTTATATAATTTCCTTCCCATACTAAAGCCATTGTTCCTTAAAGTAGTCATCTTTATGTCCTGTTCAGCCTTTGAAACAAAGCCCTAAGAGACAGCTTGTTATCGCCGTAAGTCATTTCCAGACTTGAGGAGTCCAGTGCATAGACTCACTGCTCAATTTCTCCCTGTTCATAAGGAATGTAGGAGACGTGAGCTCAACTTCTGCCCACCAGCCTAGGTTTCATTCAGAATGTTGCCTGTTGGCTGTGTCTTGAAATGAATTGATGTGTAGTTTCTGGAATAGCTTGGTCAGTCTCAGAGTTTTGTCGCTCAATACGGCATCTTTTCAAAGTCTGAAGTGGAAGAGGTCACATGTGTGTTGTATGAATCATAACATATGCTCACATATTTTTCTTTCTCTCTAGGCCAAACCCAAGCCAGAAGAAGAAGTGAAACCTGTGAAAGAACCAGACATCAAGCCCCAAACGGACACTGGGTGCTGCCTCTCCTGAAACACTGTGTGCACTTCAATTTTCTCTGAGTAGACAAGAGAAACCATAGAGCTTCAGTTCCTACTCCTTAAAGAGACCGCTCTGAAGTCAGTAGAATAATCATACATTCAGAGAAAAGCTGCCTTCTGGTACTTGTTCTTGATTTTCAATGTAGTGGAGATGCTTCTTGCTTTGCTCCCAGCCTCTCCCTCCTAATCATGACAGTGTGAAAGGTTTATTATGCCTCAAAAACACATATTTGAGGGTTGGATCCTTTCTGAATTCTGGATCATTTCAGGTTAATGTATTATAGTCCTGACTGATGTGTTTTCAGGCAGGTTTTTCTACACAGAAACATTTATTTTCCTTCCTCTTATTTGATAACAGAAGAATGACACAAACCAGTTTTGAAGAGAGCAGGTTTACCCCTCACTGCTGTGTGCATTGTAGAATAGCTTTTGCTCTGACGTGTTCATCTTGTGGGAAAAGCAGTCACTTACAATGATCAGAAAACCTTCATACCAGATCTCTTACATGTATTAGGATCTATAATTTACTTGAAAATCAGTGTTTCTAAGGGCCGGGGATTTAGCTCAGTGGTTCTGGCACCTGCCTCAAAAGTGCAAGGTCCCAAGTTCGATCCCCAGTACCAAAAAAAAAAGTTAAAGCAAGAAAATCAGTGTTCCTATGTTGAAACCTTTATGAACCTACACTTACTTTGTATCCCTGTGCTTCATTCAGTCTTAATGACCCTACAATAATTTTTACAAATCCTTTTTCTAATGCTTTTTTTACTTAGAGGTTAAAACTTTGTAACAGCGCCTAGTGTTTCTATGTAAGGGAAGATAGTAAGAATGGGAAATGTTTTTTGAAGAAATGAAACATTGCATGATATAAAGAAATTTAAATGAGATAGGTTGTCCTGAATTACACTGGTAACTGCTTCTTTCCTAAAAAAGTATTAGTAAAATGGCTTTGTTCCCTGATTTCAGTATATATTGTTTTTACATGATTTTCTAATATTTCTACTGGAACTGTATTGCTTTAGGCCAAAGGCCACAGCAAAAACTACAGAACATACATACAGTATGACACTAAAAATGGATTGTAATATATGAAACAGTTCAATGTATACACTGGAGAAGCAGTGGATGTGTAAGTGCAACAAAACTAACAGATCTGTAGATTACTTCCTATTGATGACTCTCCTGGGCACTAGGTAATTTTTTTTATTATAAATGACAATTGGTCCACTTAATAGAAATAATAGTAGTAGTGTATTTTGAGAGCTTTCTGTATGCCCAGTGCCACGCTGAGCCTGTACATAGATAAACCATGGAATCCATACAGCATCCCTACGAGAAAGGTATAAAATCTGCAAAAAGTGTTGAAAGAGGAATGTATATTATCTTATGAAGAATGAATAGATTGATGTCTGTACTAGCTTTTTGTCACTGGGACAAATTACCTGGCACACACACCTTAAGGAGAAAAGGTTTACTTTGGCTCACAGTTTCAGAGGTTTCAGTCCATGGTTGCTGGGTACAAGGTAGGGACATCATGGTGGAGAGATAGAGGAAGACAGCTGCTCACTCAGGGCCAGAACCAGAAAGAGGATGGACCAGGGCTAGAAAGCCTCTCTAGGCCACTCCCCCAGTGATACCTCCCCTGCTTCTCCGCAGTGCTTGGCACTGTTACCCTGGCCAGGCACAGAAACCAAGGACCCAGCCTCTGATCCAGGAGCCCTGGGCAATGTGTGTGATCCAAAGCAGAACAATGCCTGCTTGAGTCAGGATGATGTTCAATTAGATGACTTCAGTCGTAGCAAGTTGTTACTTTCCTCAAGACACTGGATAGAATCAGGGTTTTCAAAAAAATACATGGAAATGCTAATTAATGCTTATAATATTTAATATTTGAAACCTCAACTTGGGATAATAGTTTTATTCTGCTGATAGAGAAAATGTTAAATGTCACTGTATTTTGTGTGGCGATTGCTACAGAATCACCTGCTGCCATATGCTGTTGAGTTACAGAATTTGAAGCCGTACTTGTCACCACCTGTAGGACCTGTTTACCTTAGGTACTAATGTTTGTTAACTTAGTAACTAAATTGCCACATTGAGGTTGTGAACTGTACCATCATATATGAAATGGAAACAATATGCTTAGCGCCATAAAGTGCAGTAAATACTGCACTTAAATCAGCAGTGGCAACTTTGACACGAGCAGATAGTAAATAGTAGGAGTGTCTCAACTCGGCAAAGGTAACGCATTATGACCAAGATACACCATTGTGTGTAACGCTTTTTGAAGTGGTGTTGAGAATTTGGGGAAGTTACGGGAAGGCAGGCCAGGGAGCTGTAACTGTTTGTGCTAATGCTGCACTTGTACGTGCAGGTGGTGATGCTCTCATACTACTTCTGCTGTCTTTTTATTTATGAAAATAAAAGCAGCCTTCCTTACCCTCTCACTGAGGTCTGTTTCTGAAAAAGATGTCTGTAGTTACGAAGCGTGGTGGTGCATTCACGTCAATGACTTCCGGGTGCAGCCAGTGCTGTGCACTCCCTGGCCTGCTTGGCTTCTGCTGGATGTACAGGTGACTGTGAGCTCTTACTCTCAGAGGGGTTGAAGGCTGTGCGTGTGCTGTGACACGCAGTGTGACGTGGCGTGTGTGCTCTGCACACTGGAGGTGCCCTTCCCAGTGCCACACACGCAGAAAGGAGCCTGAAGACACTTCTGCTCCAGAGTTTGGGTGCAGTTCTTTAGAAACCCTGTTCTGATCTCACACACGCCACGCAGCAACCACATTGGGTTGCCATGATCATGTGTCTGAAGGCAGCTTTCTGTGGCATCTGCTGTCATGGTGCCAGGGGACACTGGCATTTCTCATGGGCAGATGTGGCTTGCTAATTCCTGTTTCTCATTGCCCCTCTCCTGTGGCACACACAGGCATCCCTCACTGTGGGTGTCCCCTTGGGAGGTCCGAGGCCTGGCTTCCTACCCGCAGAGGTGTCCAGACCTTTAGACAATGGGGACCAAGCAGGTAACCCTGTTAGCTCCATATGAATGACCCCACGGTCCTTGCTCCATGTTAACCTGGTCCATTGGAAACATTGTCTAGGATGGAGGAAAACAGAAAATATAAAATGCAGTTCTTAGAAACTGATCTTCATTCAAAAACAACAACCAGCATTGCTCTGTGCCCAGCCTTGTGCTAGCCCCTGGGACACAAGATGAATGAGTCTCTGCTTCCAAGGGGCTCAGTGTTCAGTAGACAATTTAGACCAGTAAGCGGTGACCCCAGCATGCTAGGAGGCTGAGGCAGGAGGGTCACAGTTCAAGCCTAGCCTGAGCACCTTAGTGACTGAGCAAGACTCTGGCTCATAATTAGCAGTGAGAGAGGGCTGGGGATGTAACTCGGTGCCGACCCTGGGTTCAGTCACCAGTACCACAGAAACAGTAGTGGCAGTATTTAGTAAACGTCCCCAGGTTACAGTTTGTGGCCATGATGGGCAGGAGCACAGCAGGTGGACCAGACGGTGACTTGGTGACACTGGAAGGAGCTGGGAGTGAGCCAAGGGCAGCTTGGGGCCACAACAGTGGCCAGGACGTCTTTCAATCACAGTAAAAAGTACAGGGTGGCCGAGTCGGCTGTCAAGAGCCCTCAGGGAATTCGTGTTGGCTCGTGTGGCTCGGGGTCACATGGGTGCCAAGTGAGTCCTTAGCCTGCTCCTAACGCACTGGCAGGGGGAGTAAAGCACAGTGCTGGCATCCAGGGAGCTCTGTGCTTCTGTTAAGGGAAGGTCCCCAGGAGCGCTGTGTCTGGAGGGAGAGTGAGGCCCAGGCTCCCTGACCTCCGTGTACTCGAGGTCCAAGAAGCAGCACTCAGTCTAGGCTGGAGAGCCCAGGGGGAAACAGGCTGCAGTGCCCGTCATGCTTAAGATGGCAGGGACTGGCTGGGGCGGTGAGGGAGCCTGTGCCTCCTGCTGCACAGGCCTGGGGCAGGTGGGTCGCTTGAGCCTAGGCGTTCAGGGCTGGCCTGGGCCACACAGTGCAACTTCAGCTCCTAAAAGAAAAAAAAGGAGGTCAGGGTTCACGGAACACAGCTGCTTTTGGTCCTGGCTGCAGGGGACCATAATGTTGATTACGCCCAAGGCAGGCTGTGAAGAGCCAACCCCACAGTCAGCTTGTTTATAGAAGTGAGTCCGGCTGAAGCCTACGTGCTGAGGTCAGAGTAACTCGCACCCAAATTCCATTCCCACAACTACACCTTCAGACTAGAAGGACAGTGTTCTAATCACAACCATGTATTTGGTCTGTTCTGTTCCTAATTTGAGAATGCTGTGTCTTGTCCTTCATGAGCCTTGTTTACATTAATTTCCATAGAAACCACTCATAGCTCACCTTTACCCCAGTTGATTCCCAATAAAAGTCAGCGCCTGGGACTGGCCAGGGCCTTTGTGAGTTGCACCAGCACTGGTTGTCCTGGCTCCTGCATTCTCTCCTAGTTCGGTCTTTTAGTTTTTTTCTCAGGCCTGTGACGTACACTGGGCAGGTGAGGACTAGAAATTTACTGCAGGAGTCTCTAGCACCTGACCAGGCTTCCAAATGCAGCCAGGACCATGGTCTCTCCGTGGAGACTCTGAGTAGAATTGGAACCCAGTAAACACTGGTAATTAATTTTTCAATTAATTTCTCATGTGCCCTAGACAGGAAAGCTTACTGGGATTTATTCTAACATTTTAGAAACTTTCTTTTGCATACATACTAGATACTCCAGCAAATAAAGAGCCAGAATCTGTTGTGGTTTTTTTCTCCTTTAGAGACAGGGTCTTGCTGTGGAGCCCAGGCTGACCTCAAACTTGCAGCAGTCCTCCTGCCTCAGTCTCCCAAGTGCTGGGATTATAGGTGTGCACCACCATGCCTGGCTAAGACTTTTCATTAAAGTTAAGATGCACTATAGAACAGAGACGTCACTTTCATGAGCAAGAAGGGGCATGAGGCAAGGGTCCGGAAAGCATCGTGAAGGGAAGCAGGGCTGGGAGGCCTGTGGCTTCAGAAGGAAGCACTTCCTGGAGACCTTGCAGGAAACCGTGGTCCCCAGCGCTGACTGCGGGCCAGGCCTCAGACCCCTCACTTCTGCTGAGAAATGTGTCCTCCTGCAGGGAAGGGTTGGGCAAGTGTCACCTGGCAGCTGGCACCCAGCCGTCCACTCAGGGCCCAGCTGGGCCTGTGGTTTGGGGTCTTCGAGGGTTAGGACCCGCCATGTCATCTGGAGGGGTCCTGTAACAAGACCCAGGGGAGGGTGGGAGATGGGGCCGATTTCCTTTCAGTCTGAGCATTTTGTGAGTGTCCCAGGCAACCCAAGTCTCTGCCAGATAGAGGACTCAGAAGTCAGTGCGGTGACCAATCCCCTCCAGGCAAGCAGCCCACGACAACTTTCATCACTGAGGATCAGTTTATCAACTGCATGTTCTTTCCTTCAGCTTGTGAATTCCTTGATCTCACCCCAGATGTGCTAAGTGAGTATGACGGGGTGCAGAAGAAGGTATGTGACTCTCTGCGGGGACCCAGGGTACATGGAGGAGAAGGGCAGCTGCTCCCGCTCCAGGCTGAGGTGGAAGAGTCCTTCCCACCCACCAACCCTGCATCGCGGTGTTGTGGGTGGCCATGGCCCTTTGCATCTGTCCCACTCCGTGGAGTCAGGGTGCCGTGGCAGGAGGCAGAGAACCCTGTGGTGCAGCATCCCCCAGGTGCGGGGCTCCCAGGTGTGTCTGGCTGTCCAGCTGAACTTCTCGTTCTCCCCAGTTTGGGCAGTAAAGGGAGTGGACCACAGGCCCAGCAGAGGCTGCTCCTCCCAGCAGCCCTCCTCCAGGGAGGGCCTGGGGGCGGGTGCCTGCTCAGGAGGGCAGCAGAGGCCAAAGTCCTGCTGTCCCGTCACCATGGCCACGGCACCCAGGATGGCACTTCCGGCCAGATCTGACCCCAACCCCGTGACTTGGACTCAAACACCCAGAAACTGAAAGCAGCGAAAGTAACTTTGGACACTTTCTCCATACAGATCTTTACCAGACCCCAGCTGCACCCCAGTGACACCTGTCCAGTTAGTGCAGACATCTTTGTAGCCGTATTAATGCCCTAAGGAACTTGAGGGGTTCAGGGGCTTTGTCACCTTTGTCATGGGGCTCGAGAGCAGTCAGACACTGCTCCTCAGAAGAAAACTTGCGAAGTGTAAAGAAATATCCCTTTCAGGGACTGACATGGATTGTGCATGTCTAGATGCCCCTCTGGCTCAGCCTAGGCTTGCTTTACAATTAGCAGACAGTGCTCACAGTGAAGGAGGGGGAAGAGATGCAACTCCCAAGCCTGCTAGGTAACCAAAACTCGAGTTCACGTTACCTAAAATCGAATGAATTCTAGGAACAGCAGAGGTTAAGAGTAGGAAGAATTTATTGCGAGAAAGACAGCTTCTGTCCAAGAGAGACAGAAGGGGGATTGGAAAGTGGGTTGCCCACCCACCCTGCTTCTCAAAGGTGTTTTATGGGGCAAAGCCACGAGGTGAGGCAGGTTCAAGGTGGGACAAAACTGTAGCCAACTGGTAAGATTGCAAGTACAGTCGCTTAGGTGATATTGATCCAATGAGAAATCACACGCTGGACATGAAGTGGGACAAAACTATGATCAACCAAGAAGATTACGACAAGTATAGTCGCTTAGGTAATGTTGGTTAAATGGGGATCAAATGGGGAAGCAAGTCACGTAGCAAGTCCACAAGGATTTTCACTTGGAGCCCAAGGGACTAATATCTGAATATATAATATAGAACTAAAAAATTTAGACCCCCCCCCAACAAATGACCCAATCAAAAAATGGGCAACTGAAGCAAATAGACATGTTTCAAAAGAAGAAACATAAATGGCCAATAAGTACATAAAAAATGCTCAGTATCTTTAGTCATTAGGGAAATGCAAAACAAAACAACAGAATGGCTTACACCAAGAACACAAAAGAATACATGCTGTCAAGGCTGTGGGGAAAAGGAACCTTTCTGCACTGTTGGTGGGAATGTGGACTAACAACCACTATGGATACCAGTCTGGAGGGTCCTTAAAAACTTGAGAATAGAAAATCCATTTGACCCAGCTATACCTCTCTTAAGAATTTTCCCCAAAAAGTTAGTCATCATACTATTGTGATAAATGTATATCCATGTTTATAGCAGCACAACTCACAATAGCTAAATGATGGAAACACCCCAGATGCACATCAGTGGACAAATGGATAAAGGAAATGTGGTTTATACTCAGTGGAGTATTATTCAGCCACAGGAAGGATGAATTTGAGTCACTTGTGGGAAAACGGATGGATTTTAAGGCCATAATGTTAAGTGAAATAAACCAGACCTAAAAGGTCATAGTTTTCTCTTATTTGAGAAACACGAAATAGAAATAATTCAAAGAATAAAATAAA